CCTTTTAGCTATAGTATTTTATATAAAATTATTAGTATAGAGTCCTATAGTAGAAATCGAGAGTACTAAGTAGTTTAAGATAACTTAGTACCCTTCTAACAAAAATACTTAGTACTCTAAGAGGGTACTAAGTTTACTAGATATAGAATTACTTATAAGCCTAGTATAATACGGCTAGAAGAGTAATAAAGAAAGCTTAGACCTCGCTTAAAAAGTAAGAGTAGAAATACGAAAAACCTCGACTTATTACTCTTAACTAGAAATATATATAACTTTATAAGGTTAAGACTTTTCTAAAATCTTATTTTTTCTTAGGTTAGCTTAGTTAAATCTCTACGTTTAATATATACTAAGTATATTGTTTAAGAATAACTCTACCTCTTTTCGACCTACTACAAAAACAGGTCTCTAAAACCCACTTTTTTCTTGTAGTAGCTAGGATTAAATTCTTATAGTAGCTAGGATTAAATTTTTGTAGTAGCCCTACTGTAAGGCAAAACAATGTCTGGAATTATAGGTAGAGGTTATTATTTAAAGCTTAGGTTAGATGTAAAGCCTTGTTAAGAATAAACAAAGGTAATATATAAGAGTATTCGTAAACAGAGGTTGTATTTAGACTTTAAAGCAGGTGTGTAATTGTTAAGACGACTAAAATATTGTCCTTAGAAAATCTGCTAAGCTCTTACAATCTAATAAAGCTATCTTTAACTTCTGAAGATTGTACGACAGTTACTATAGCCTTAACCAACCCCTGCGCAATCTGAGCATGCAGTCACGATAATGTTGAGTCCATAAAGGACCATGAATTGCAGACCAAACAGCACAATGGCCAATGGCCAAATAGTAAAACACTTCCAACCTCTTCTTTTGCTCCATATTACAGCCATAGATCCCGGCGAGGTCAAGAGGTTCTAACCCCATATTAGCGGTCAAGTAGCCTAAATCCCACATTGGATCTCCCAGATCGCAATCCTCAAAGTCGATAGCCCATAATGTTCCTTGTTGATCTAGCATGATATTTTGACTGTGAAAATCGTTGTGACAGGGCACTAGAGTCTGAAAAGTCGGCTGACATCCCACTTTCTGAAACGTCCATGTGATGAGGCTCTCAAGCAACAATCCATCATCCCCGTCGAGTAAGCGCTCTTTGTCAGCGGCTTGAAGCATACGTTTGACAGCCGCAGGAGCATTGTAAATCTGCATATAGTGCTGGCTCGGGGCATCATGGATACGACGAAGAAGCCCGATGGTACACGTCTTCAAATGATCTTGAAGCATCATTTGCGCGCTCAGCGTCTGTCCCGAAAGGAACTCCATCGCAAAAGCCCCACTTAAATCATCAATTGCAATCACAGCTGGTCCGATTTGATGTTGAGATGCCCAAGAGGCCCTCTGGGCTTCATTTTTGCAGGCAGTGGCTGAATTTTCGTCCACCAAACGTGGAACCTTGGCGATAAAACTTCGATTTTCGGAAGGAAACGAGACCTTGATACAGTCTTGGGCTGACCAGCCAGCATGATTGTATGGTGTGGCCACGACGGCTACGCTAGTGCTCCCTAATGCTCCTTGACAGAGACGGGCGGCATGTTCCAGATTTTCAGGGCTTGGGGGCGATGAGGATGGCCAGCGGAAGACGTCCAACGACCCTGCATCTTCGACTATTTGGTTCATAGTGTCCGATGGTCCTTTGAATATGGTTCTAGCTCGTTTGGATCGGATGACAGCCAGAGATCGAAACAAGCTCTCCAGTAGAAAGTGGATGCTAAAGAGGGCAAACAAAATCCTATGTAAAGAGTTAATGATTGTCGCTCCAATTGCTTCCGAGTTTATACGAAGACAAACATTAGATTGAATGACATCTTACAGATATAAATATAAATCAAAGGCCATGGTCAAGAATGCCTTACTGAAATCATGTGCAGCTACTGCTCACAAGTTGGCACATTCCAAGTCATGAATTGTGTGCCGTCGCTCACTTATCAGTTCACGCGAGCATGCAAAGTCTGCCTCGCTATAAGTGTAATATATGGGCTTGTTGTTTGTAGTGAAAGCGCGCGGTTACAGACATTGAGTCTACCGCGAGGCCCTCGTATTGACCCTTTGGCACACCCTGGATTATCGACAACAAGCTCACGTGGCGGATGACCTGCCATATGAAAAAATCACCAACTTGTCGGTGTACTTTTCAAGAGGTGTTTGAGAACGTTTCACTAGTCGCATGCTATCGCTGGGAGTTTGAGTCATGTCAATGATGGACATAATTGTGAACTATGCCAACCAGCCGATACATCGATCACATGTCTTGCGGGGTTTCATACACGGGGTGTTGTTATAAACAGACAGGTAGAAACTTGAGGAGTATATTTGGAGCTCAATAGTTTTGTTTCCAAAGGACCTACTTCCATGTGGCGAATTTCCATAACATAGGCATTTTACAGTACATAACCTGCATTTGTCCAGCAGAGAGCTCGCTCTGTGTTTTCAGATTCATGACAACATATCGCGGTTGCAAACTTCCGAGAGTGCGACAGAATGCTTTCCAGAACTACAGCATTGTTGGACACACTTCGCCAGCATACAGACTCGGTTACATCTCAGCCCCGAGAACACGTACGAGAATATACCATATCTGACGAAATCATTGCACGAAAGCTACTTCGTGAGGTGGAGTTGCCGATTGATCTTACACCTCTGAATGTCGCTGCTACGCTCAAGGCTGAAATCGTTCGAAGCCGAGCTCATTTGACAACAACTAGCCGTGTCGTGGAGCGTGAGGTTTCGCGAGTACTGGCGTCCTCAACACTTCCTCCAGCAGTCTTATCTAGTCTGTTCGGGAAAATGGTTACCTTGTTCGACACTATCCGGAAGACTCGGAATTTGTGGCTGCCAGATGAGATTGATGTGGAAGAAATGCAGATCCTACATAGAACTGGAAATCACAGGCAGCAATTCCATGCCCTGCGCGATTTTCTAGCGCCCCTTCAAACCATTCTGGCACGTCTTGCGACGACAAATACGAACGGAGACCCTTATCTTTCTCAGCTTGGACATCTGGGGGTTCTTAATCCATCTTATGTGCTTCACTTTGTCTCGAATGCAGCGGGTGGAAAGACTTCTGAGATACTTTCACCTCCCGAGGAATTGCGTCAAGTTTGGAAACGAGTTGCAAACGAGCGCCAAGCGCCCGAAGATAAAGGCCAGTTTGGTCCTTTCACTGCCAATCTATGGCAAACTGAGTGGCGTGTCAAAGATGCTACTATGCCACCAGTCTCGAAAGCAGAAGTGGAGGCAGTCTTTGGAGCACATGCCACGATATCCTCTTCGGCGAATTTGAGACTTCCTTACTTCTGCGGCGCGAACAAATATCGACTGGTTGAAAACGACCCAATAGTGGTAGACGCAACAGAACGAGGTTTTCATATGACAAGTGGTCCATCTGGGACTGCATATCGATTTTTGAGTATGTGGTTGACACTGGGGGGTGACAGACGAGATTTGGAGACAATTCGTCTTGGCGCCGTTACATTGCTGCTTAATGGCAACCATCATTCGGTGATGGAAGCGATGTTGGTTTGCGCCCCTCTGGTTGGATGCAAACCCCCAAATGATCTTACAGAAATGCTTAAGCAGCTTGTGCCGCATGACTTAAAATTGGTATTAGGGAATGTGCAACATTGTCTGACTGCAGAGGAGTTTGATGAGAGGCTTGCTCGTAGGCTTGAAGATCTTGTAGCATAGAAATTAGAAACAATCAGGTAGCTGAAATTAAACTGAAATTATCTCGTGTTAGGCACAATTGGATGACTCTTGAAGTCAGCCGTATATACGGAAATGGACGAGACATTCGTGGTACCATAACCTCTAGCCATGAGCCGATACAGCAAGATTTTATCTTTCCGCAAATTGATCAATCGCGCGGGCTACCGTGGTTAGGTCCCAGGTCTTTCGCCATCTCCAACCTCAACATTTCTGCTTCTTGTTTCATGACTTCATCACTTCTTGGTTCCATGGAGTCCTCATCGACCTTTGGCTGCTTTGGTCTAAGACGTTGAAACTGCTGCTCAAGATCACCATCAGCTCTTTCTAGCCGGTCGTAGATAGCGTCAGGCCCACCCTCGTGATCTAGATCGGACGGCTTCCTGGGGAGGATATGTACATGTACGTGTGGGACACTCTGACCTGCATCAAATCCGTCCTGTAAAGGTATATTTAGAGCTGATGCGGAGTAGACTCGTTCAAGAAGCCTTCCAACGCGTTGAACTGTGATGAAGAGATCAGCTGTTTCAGTAGGCGTGAGGTCGGAAAGCCGAGGAACGACTCGGTGAGGGGAGACTAGCACATGTCCCGGAAGGAGAGGCTTGATATTGACGAAGGCGAAGGACAAGGCCGTCTCGTAGAAGACCTGGGGAGTGACCACGAATTGATGAAAGAGCCTCTCTACGGGCTTAGCGCTAGCACCGATCGAAGAGCTACGCATAATGTTTCGTTGTCGGTGAGGACTTGTACCCTTCAAACTAGTGGTAAATATACCGAATGGTGGAGAAGAGGAGAGTTGAATTGGTAACGGGCAGCTGACGACAATCGCGAGGAAGCGGCCTGACTAAATTTTAGATTTGCTGGGGCACAGCCGTTGTCGCGGAGATGAATATGACCAAGTAAGACAGGACCGAGAATCTTTTATGCGTTGGTTTGTTGCTTCTATAGGTCTTAAGACTCGGTGACGGCTGATATATGTTGGATTTGAGCTCACCGACTACGCCTGCATACTAAGGTGACTCATGTCAGTGATGAAATACACCCTTTATAGTCACAGGCAATCACATCTACTCGCGATTATCCTTCAAATCAATCTTCCCATCCTGACTATCCTCAATCTCACTTGCTGTGGTGTAAGAATAATAAGCTCGATTGTGCGCTTCCTCCCTTACATTTTCACGTTTCCAACATCTCCAATCCGATCTAGTCCGAATTCGGATATAAGTCACATGACTACTCATGCGGAAGAAGTGCCCGGGGCTGGCAAGCCCCTCGCCTTAACACTACTAAGCGAAACGAAAGCTGCTCTTACCAACGAGGAAAGGTATAGCATTATTACATCGAACCTGCAGGAGGTCATCCGAGGCGACATTATCACAAGAATCCTTCCTTTGCGGCCATTGAAGATCTATTGGGGCACCGCTACCACTGGACGGCCTCATGCTGCATACTTTGTGCCCGCCATCAAGGTTGCCCAGTTTCTGCAAGTTGGCTGCAAGGTCAAGATCTTGCTCGCCGATCTTCATGGCTTCCTGGATGCTGATAAAGCACCCGAAGGAGTTCTGGAGTTCAGAGCCCAGTACTACGAGCGTGTTATTCGTGCTCTGCTGCGGAGCGTCGGGGTCAACATCGAAAATCTCGAATTCGTCAGAGGAAGCTCGTACCAATTGTCCAACGCATTTGCTAGAGATCTCCTGCGACTCAGCAAAAAAGTGTCCATTCATGATGCCACAAAAGCCAGCAGTGAAATTGTGAAGAGTATGGGCGAGCCAGTAATGGCTGATGGTATTTATCCTATGATGCAGCTGCTGGATGAAGAATACCTTGACGCCGACGCCGAATTTGGGGGCATCGATCAGCGCAAGACTTTCGTTCTAGCGAACGATACAATGCACAAAATGAACTTCAAGACGCGCGCACATCTAATGAACCCGATGGTACCTGGATTGGCCGGTGGAAAGATGAGCAGCTCAGACCCGAAATCTAAGATTGATCTCCTAGATGACGCTACCACTATCCAAAAGAAGATTGCGAAGGCTTATTGCGCACCCCGCGAAGTTGAAGGAAACGGCATCTTGGCCTTTATTCAACACGTGCTGCTCCCATATTCTGCTCTACAGTCAGCGGTCCGACAACCATCTATCAGCATAGTATTGCCTAATCACTCCGCGCCGACCTTTTTCCACACATACACGGAGGTCGTAAGTGCATATCAAGCTGATGTTCTGACTCCGCAAATAGTCAAAAAGATAGTTGAAGAGGGGTTGATCAAGCTTACTGCTCCCATCCAGCGAGCATTTGAAGAAGATAAGGAATGGCAATCCATTGCGGAAAAGGCGTATCCGATACTTTCTAACAAGTCTGCTTCACGAGATGCTGCAAAGCCGTCCCGGAGGGACGGAGACCAAGAAGCTATGGCTTCAAACTAGAAAATAGATGCTCTCACTACTAGAAAATAGATGCTCTCACTCCTGAGATGGGTATCTCAAAACCTCGGGAATCAAAAGCACGACGATATTTTCATTTATCAAATGTCTGCTGGGATGTATGACTGTCCATTTCGTAATTTCGTTTGGGTTTCTTTAGGAAGGTAATATCGAAATGTCCTCGATTAGTGGTTTGGGGGTGTTTGTACCTAGATTTCATCAAATGCTCAAATGTATCAAATCGATCATTTCCTTCTACGTGAATGACACGATTAAACCACCTCCGTTGACTGAAGCAATCCTGCGCAAGCCCCTCCAACGATCATTGACGATATATGAGGCAGAGTTAGCACGGCGGTGGCACAAATCTAATTACTTAAACTGAACAGTTGTTTCTCCGTCGTACCTTATCCTTCTGGAAGCATCGTGAAGTTAAAGCATATAAGATACCTCACCTAAGTCATCTGCGACCCAGAGGGGAAGGCCAGATGAAAGGTGACAAACGTCGAAATCCAACTTACTTCAGACTGACAGATTACGCTGGCAGACAAAGAAATAGTTAAGCCAACAATCAAGCGTCCCCAAGGAGGGCTGATGACCGAATGGGTTGAAAAGTTTCTATTCCCGCCATGTTTTGCCTACCATAGATAGCTTACAGACAGATAGTACACTCTCAACTTCAGTCTCTCTGTTCTTTTCATTAAAAGCCCTCGGAGCCAGTGAAAGGTTCCTTGCAATAATTCCGTCCGGGTTATTTATCATGCTGAACATTGTTATCCACCCGAAAACATTTTGGTCAGGCTGTCACGAAGGCTTGCTGTGGAGATGCTCCAACATTCCCAACTCTTGTGAAAGGCTCGAATTTCGGCCGGATGAAAATCCGAATGGCCATGTGCACGCTCTTCTGGAGCGATAGTGGCCGATGTATGCGCCGCCGAATTTTTAAGTAGGCTTTCTATGGAAATCGCATGGTCGTGTGACTTGGAGCTCTTGACAATTTGCCTTCACTGGTATCGAGACGCGCTTTACTAACAAGTTATCTTCAATCGTGTCAAAAGACCGCTCCCTTGATGTTTCATCGAAAAGACTGCTCTGATCGAACGACTTACCTTCCAAGAATGGACTTGTATTTAAGAGACCTAAGATCTACTGGCATATAGTTCATATACAGTCCCTCGAAAACATATCTTCGTCGCTACCCCAACAAACCAGTGCAACCTTTTCCCCTCAATCTCTGATAATTTTTCTCGCAACACCCGCTTTCATCAGCTCGACTCCACTAGCTAGTGCAGGCATCAATCCCACTCCGCAGCTACACCCCAGATAACGCCTCAAAAATGGTCGGTAGTAAAGCCTTTGACGGTGACATCGTCACCTATCCTGAGCTACAGCTGCTTCCCACAATGAGGTTCGATGGAGTTGTGAATAAGTACCCCAATAAGGTAGCGGTAATCAGCCTCCATGGGGTTTTAACATACTCTCAACTATGCGTCGCGGCCAATCAACTTGCTTGGCACTTGCAGAAGATTGGGGTAGGCCCCGAGGATGTTGTGGCAGTGAGCCTCGAAAGAGGAAATTTATTTGTGGTTGCTATAATGGCAATCTGGAAGGCAAATGGCGCATATCTACCTCTAGACATCTCAATGCCCAGCAGCAGAATGGACTTCATGATTTCAGACGGGCACGCTCGCTGCATCATAACAACAGAATCCGTGGCCAGAGCTAGGAAACTTGACGAAAGTACGTCGACTGTGTTGCTTCTCGATGATATTGGGTTCATTCAAACCATGTGGCAATATCCTCTCAGCTCCCCGCCGAGAACAGCGCAGAATCACAATCTAGCTTACGTTCTATACACTTCAGGAACAAGTGGAAAGCCAAAGGGAGTGGGTATTACGCATCATAATCTCATTAATCTGGTTAATGATATTCAACACACAAAGGAAATTGTTCCCGACGATCGTGTAATGGTATTTTCGCCTTTTTGCTTCGACGCTACTATCAGAGACATCGCGGGGACCCTTCTCACGGGTGCAACGCTCTACATTCCCGATCAGGAAGAAGTTCTGCCTGGAAATTTTGTCGAGACTTTACAAAGCCGGAAAATTACCAATGTCGTAGTAACACCAAGTGTGTTGCAAAATTGCCGTCCCCAGAGCTTACCTCTATTGAGGATGATTGTGACTGCCGGCGAAAAGGTCGGTAAAGATATCATACAGACCTGGGGAAAGGGGAGAATTTTGATCAATGCCTACGGACCTACAGAAGCAACTGTTTGCTGCGCCAAAAAGACATATCATGAGGGTGAGTTACTAGTTGGCGAGAATGTCTCGATTGGAGTTCCGATACTCAACACAAAGATTCACATACTGGATTCCGAGGGAAGACTTGCCAAAAATGGGGTGATTGGCGAAATCTACATATCTGGCCCTAGTGTCAGTAGTAAGGGATACCTCAATCTACCAGAGCTTAACAATGAACGATTCTTTAATAACATGTACATGGGAGTCGGCCGGACATTCAGAACTGGAGATTTGGGAAGACTGACACCTTGTGGTGATATCGAATGTGTCGGACGCAAGGATAGTCAGATCAAGCTTCATGGTCAGCGTATTGAGAGTGAGGAAATCACAGAACTGCTGTTGACCGATCCGGCGGTACTAGGAGCGATCATTGTGCTTGAAGGGCCCAATAACGACCAATATATAGCTTGTTATGTCGTTCGAACTCCGACTGGAATCTTAATGAAGGAAAGTGATCTTTCAACACGATTGGATAGCCTTTTGAGAAAGAGACTTCCTTCGTACAGCATTCCAAGCACATTTCTTTATATCGACTCTATTCCAACGACTATCAGCAACAAGGTGGATCTCAAAGCCTTACATCATGCGACACTTGCCTGCAAAGATAAAATTTCTCCAGAGAAGGTAGGCAATCTCACGCCCTTCGAAAGAGTCGTGGCAACGGCACTTCTAGACGCCATGGGATTAGCCCCAAATTTGCCTCTGAATGCTCAAACTACCTATTCTGAGCTTGGAGGCACTTCTCTACAAGCCGCAATGGTTCTACAGTCTTTAAATCATATCCTCAAGTGCAAGATCAAATTTGCCAAGTTCTATAGACGAAAGTTGTCGGTCAGAGATATTGCATCTTTGGCCACCGAAAACGAGATTGGAGAGTCCCAGGAGTTCCACGCAGCTCTTCAACAGCAGCCCTATCTTCCTCAAGACATTTCTTTCCATAGAGCAATCGCTTGCACAGCCAGTTCACAACGACTGATGTTGACGGGTGCGACAGGGTTTTTAGGAGCCCACGTTCTATCCGCTCTGTTAGAAAAGGGCACAACCGGCGTAGTTTGCCTTGTTAGATCTACAAACAAATTGAGCGGTCTACGCCGAGTGGAAGCAGCACTAAAATCATGGTCACTTTGGAAAAACGAGTACATGCATCATATCGATATAATTCCAGCAAACATCAGTCAAGCTTTTCTTGGTATGGACCCAGACAAGTACATACTTCTTGCACAGAGTGTACATGAAGTATGGCATTGCGCTGCTGAAGTGAGTTTCGTGGCTTCCTATGCCGATCTTGAAGGGACGAATGTCGATGGCATGCGCGAAGTGTTACGATTTTCCAATGCACTTACTACAAAGCGACTGATCTACGTGTCCACCTTAGCAGTCTTCTTCGGCGCAAGAAACAAGGTGGATTATGGCGAGGAAAAGAGCACAGCAAAATGGGGACAGGATGTGGTAACTGGCTACGGACAAACAAAATGGATTGCGGAACAGATGGTAGTGGAGTTCCAGGACCAAGGTGGCGATGTGTTGATTTTTCGGCCAGGTCGTTTACTTGGTAGTCTAAGCAAAGGACTTAGCCCAAGCAGCGACTTAACCATGAGATTACTTTCATCGTTCATTGAAATTGGAGTTGCGCCCAGCTTGTCTTGGTACATCGATTTCACACCAGTTGATCTATGCGCCGAAGCTTTGATAGATCTAGCATCGAGTGGCAAGAACGGTATCTATCACTTCATCAATCCAAGACCGATATCGCTTGTCGCAATCGTTGAGCAGCTAAACCGGTTGCTCAAGCCAGCGGGGCGCAGTGTTACCATGATACCTTATCAGAACTGGAAGCAGAAGATTATGCAGAGTGTCACTCTCAGACCTCTCAGCGCATTATTTACAGATTCAATTGGCCAAAATGCTAACGATTGGAGTGTATTGGACGCTTTGCTTGACACAACGACGTTCCGCAGGAGCTCTTATTCTATTCGAAGATTACAAGAAGACATTACCGACCCAGGTATCTTGAAGTTTCCTGGCTGTTCAGAATTACTGGCCAGATACATGGCTCAAGGATTCTAACGCTTATATCGTCAGCTTATCAATGTTCCTATTACTCGCTTATATGGTGTGCAAATAGATAGAAATGATTCTTATGTGTTTGTTCGCATAGTAATACATAAAACGTGCGCTACTAGAAAATGCCAGCCTGTGTATCCAGATACTCCCGCTCTATTAATATTACTTCCAGAATCTCTTCTCGCAATTATAATCTAGAATTTCTCCTAATTTGACTGTTGTGTAACCTCACATTCTTACTGTTACTGATTTATAGTTACCGTGATGTGCTGTTCACTTGCTAAATGTTCGTAAACAAATAAAGTCTTGTAAGTCACGCAGAGTCACAATACCAATACCATTTGCGAGGGTATTACTGCCATCGATTAATTATCATGAGCACTAAAGAACTGAGCAATATCTTTAGGTATGAGAGGATCTGTACAAACTACACAGCGAGAGAGATTCTCGATGGCAAGACGCACCCCAATCCTACCAATAGACTAGTGATATTCGACAGCGCAGGTCTTGAACTCCTCGTCCGGTCCAAAATCGGATCACTTTGAGCGCAATTTAGCTATTCGGTTCTTAGATCCGCTTGATGTGAGAAATACTCATGCGGTCTGTGCCCATTGCGTTATGAGTGCAAATTCTTTGCTATTGTAACTTCAATCTCATTATACCAAGGGACACTCTGGAGCTGCGCTCTGTTAGTGCGCTTTGCCTTGGCAGGGTAGTAGCATGCTTCTTTAAAAAATCCGAGCTTCTTGGAAAATCGCTACTGAGGCTTTCCCCTCAAGAATACAGGTTTTCCCAATCTAGGTGGTATTAGCTTCCAATCCTGTCGTACACGCTTCCGACCCCATTCGATTGTGGATCTGGGAGGTGTCCCCATTTGAAAATTGGAAAGCTCACAGAACTATGCAATTAGGATAAAAGGTGCATACGAGACAGTATAAATACATATGTAAACGAATGAAACCTAGCCGAGCGCAGGACACAATCACTTAAATTTAAAACATGTCTTGCCCTACCTATCCTAACGCAGGCCACAGCCTATAAGCCTTCTTATACCATTCGATTGCTTCGCCCCCCCTTTTGGCATCCTCAAGCCCCTCGGCAATAGCCAGTGCCCTCCGTCCCCTCCTCTCGTTCCCCAGCTCCGGGCCTCCTTCAGAGCCCTCGCACAGCCTGTCAAAATCAAACTCCTCGTCTCGCCAAAACATCACATCCGTTCTAAGCAAGTACTTGACCCCTTCCCTTACCTCTTCGCCATCATGCCAGACGTCGTCTCGGAAGAGGAGCGCTTGCCCAAGCACCGGCTGAACGGCTGCAAGAACTCCGTTGGTTGGGGACAGGAAGCGCGTCGCGCCGCCAGAAGAAGAAGGGACATCGGCAAGGTAAATGTTGATGCTGTAGAACGCCTGTTCGTTGACGGACTCAAGACGGCGGCCGTCTGTGTGTGCTGAGAATTTACCTCCTTGTTCAGGTCAGTTGACTTTGCTTTCTCGAAATGAAGGTGGGGCAGAACAGCACAGCATACCTGGCGTGTATCGACACAACCTGAACGTCTCGTTCAGCGCTCGCACAGTCCAGCTCTCTCCATCCTCATCAACGACCTTACCCATCCCATTTGCTTCCTCGTGAAAGAAAGACGCAATACGCGACCAGAGCAACGACGCAAGCGCAGAGTCAACGAATATTTCTCGATCACGCACGGTTGTGGGCGTTATGTTTGATGGTGTCAGGTCCGTATGTTTATCAATTATAGAGCTGCACTCGGTAGGAGAGAGGAGGTTTGAGATTAAATGAAATGCGCGCGGTGGGGAGAGCGACGGGATAAGCTGAGTTTGTAAACTCGGTAGTGATGTTGGTAATGTAGACATTCCTGCGACTTGAGAGGGCGTCTTTGGTGAGGAGCGTGTATCCCTAGTGGTCAGGAAGTTGGCATTTCGATTGAAAGAAATATGTGAGTATTTATGCTGGGTGAGATATTTGAAGCAAAGAGTATGTGATATTATGTCCCGAGGATTCACCAGCTTGAAAGCGGTTGGTAGTAGCTCCATCCGGTCGGCGTGAGTCATCCGTAACTGAACGAAACGTCAACAAAGAAGGAGATCACCAGCGTCCAGAGTCACACACCGACGTCTTTCAAACAAAATGGTATGAGGGAAATTGCGCATCGGAGGTCGCAAGTATTCCATGAGTACGGTTAAGGTAGTCCTATCGCAAAAGCCTGTCATTGACTTCACATATGGGTTGACGTATACTCTCTTATAAAGTTCTGCATACTATGCTACGCCAGATCCCTTATACTACTAGCTTCTTTACTTGAAGAGGGTTACGACGCCTAAACCTGAAACAAAAATTAATTAAACTGTACTCTGTGTTGATCAAAATTCTGACTTCTTTTCTAGCGTCAAAGGATACAATCATTGTAAGCTCTATCAGGCTGTCTTGGCTTTGACGGCATTTTTCCTCCATTGCCCCTTACATCAATAGTGTCGAACTTACCCAAAAATACGGCGAAAATTAGGAAGAGTTTTCCCCGAGTCTTGTCTTTTCGTCGATAGGGGGAATCTGCTTTACCTCACTGATTTTAATTTGACGGATTATGGCCAGTGTCCCTAAAGATTTAAGTATACTCTGTAGTTTTTCAAATTCTAGAGTAGAACTAAATGATCGCAAGCGCTTTGGAACTTTGAAATGAAACTGTTAAAGAGTTCGGTTGAAACAGTGACTTAATTGTTAGACATTACCACACGACTCAGTTCAACGGACATCGATGATTCCGAAAACGTATCTTCAGGTATGTAAGTTTCATTGAGAAAGGAGTGGAAAGGAAGAGACCGAAGCTTAGGATGACCTACGCCACGACAACAGTCGCGCAGCTAGGAAAGGGCGACGAGAAACCATTGGGATGAAGAACACAGAGGAAGACATTTGCTAATATGCCGCTCACATACATGAGCGTCAAAACTGCCAAGATCGTCGAGTAAAATAATCAATATTCAGCGTTACTGGGCGTTTGCTAACCCAATGAGAGTAGTTGGTCTGAGCATGAACAACAAATTAGCGGATTAGGACCTTTGAAAATGACACAACATCTGGATGGATCGAGGTCTGCAGGTGAGATGATGACCACTCCTCGTGATGGGAATTTCATACTGTTATACAGCAATTGTGATGCTGAATACTATACTGGATAATAATTTCTATCAACCCTATCCCAGTACTCTTGCAAGAATTTCACAGTAATGATAGAAAATAGCTATATGTAGGCTAACACCCTACCGAGGCTCTTCTATAGTATGCGGCGTGGGTAATGCTATTGGGACAAATGGTGAGCAAAATGTGACGATAAAAGGAGGAGGAAAATTTACTGCCTGAGCTTATCATGTTTTGGTTATTAGAGGCTGAACTGACTGTGATTATATCGCATACTCCAAGAATAGTTACGACGCCTGGGAAACGTAGACAAAGGACACTCTGACCTCGGGTTTTTGATAGTACTCACAAGCTACAGAACATTTTAAGGTATGAGCCACATCCAATCGCACTCGTTTTTCTGAATTGGTCTCTTCTTTCACTTGACAGCATATCCGTAGTCCCCTATCAAAACAGCAAAGGGGGTTAGATCCAATCGGCATGTCAAGTTTCACACGGAAGGCGCACACAATGAAAATTAGTCCAAAATAGAAATATTGAAACTTGCCATTGGCGGAAAGCATTCAGTCTCATTGCGCCCTTTGTCAAGATTATCACTCAGATTTCGAGCAATCCGAACATCGAAACTACCAGTATTTTATGCTTTATCATAATTCTAGGGCGATTCCTCGGACGTGACGGAGATCCAAGTTGGCGGAACGTCAATCCGGATCACGACTTTACTGCTCAGCTTCAGAGGGATGCGGATGAGTATTTCATATTTGTGTGGGACAACGCTATCGACCAATCACCATGATCTCACAACGCGATCATTGCAGGTGGTCATCGTGAAAAAACTTATTAATACCGTTTAGCATAAATACCGAGATTGCTTCAGAACCTGCATGCATCTAAACATTGGTGCGCTTGTAGGTTGGACTCACTTCCATATGCAGCTTCGATGCGAAGTTTTAGCAGGCTTGCATTGAATTTGAGCAAAAGTCGCACTGTGCCAGACATGCGAGATGTTTACCCGTGCCGTTATTTGCGCTTTAGGTATTGAATTTCCCAAGACAATTTACAAAATGTCTTTTCAATACTCATTAGATGCTTTGATGATTTAACCTTTCGTGATCTCCCATTTGGAAATAAATGTGTTTTTACAGGGCTTTTTGGTTAAATAAAGAGTGGAGTACCGGCTGTCTCACGACAAAGTATAAGTTGATAGACTTGGCCACAAAAGATTGTCAATTCTCATCATCACAATGATTTTGCTTTTTCATCCAATCATTCTAGCTGGGCTTGTCATTGACTCCCCGTTTCTTGGTCGAAACACTCCTCTCTACGATACATTTGATAATGTAACAGTGTATACAGCTCCAACAGAGTGGAAAAATCGCGGGACCATGTATGGGAGAGTGGTACTATTGAACAAGAACTGTGAGAAAAACAACGTCCTTCTCTCAACATGGACCGTGAGCGCGCCGAACAAAACGTACCTCCCGATCTACAAGTCGTTAGACCTAGGACGTACGTGGAATCCACTATCAAAAGTGTATTTTAAAACACCGAATTATACTGCTATCGCGGAGCCCTTCCTGTACGAACTTGGAGAATCATTCGGCGACTACCCTGCTGGAACAGTTCTTCTCTCCGCGAATACCTTCTCCAAAGTCGGAACAGCAATCGAATTACACGCTAGCGTCGATAAAGGGTATGTAGGCACATTGATACCTCTTCTCCAAATACTAAATTCCTTGTTAGTAAAACATTTGAGTATGTATCCACCGTAGCAACCGGTGGCCCTCCTAATGTCACTGATGGAGGAACCTCAGTCTGGGAACCCTTTATTCTAGCACACAGTAACAAGCTCGGTGTGTTCTACTCCGACTCCAGGGACCCGCTTCATTCCCAAAAGCTATCTCACCAAACAAGCACCGACCTTCTTCACTGGAGCCAACCAGTAAACGATGCCGCCTCGCAGAATTACACGCTCCGGCCAGGAATGACGACTATAGCAAAGATGGGTAACGGGAAGTTTATCTTGTTCTACGAGCTCGACAAAGTTACCGGCGTTCCTGCATATGCTAAACAGCCTGTGCATTATCGAATAGCTGATTCTCCGTTCAAATTCAATGGTGCGAGAGAACATATGCTAGTATCTACCGATGGTACGGTAGCTAGTTCGGCACCACAGACTATATGGACACCTGCTGGGGGTGTAAATGGGACTATTCTGACTAGTGCTAGTCATGCGGAGGACTTTTTCATCAATACTGCGTATGGTGATCCAAGTGCTTGGATTAGGGTCGATAGTGGACATGGGGTTGGGTACTCGAGGGCGCTGGAGATTATGCCCAATACCGATGGGAAAGTCGTTTTAGTGTTTAATGGGGGAAGTTGGCAAGATGGACCGAAGCAAGTAAGTGCTGGTAACTTTTTAATTCCTGGTGCGGGTTCTAGCATTGACAATATTTCGAACTGTCCGTCCTCTGGTATAAGCAGATAGTCAATCTTTGGGCAATGGAAAATAAAGTGTCTACAAACTTATTTTCATGAACAAAAGTACAATTCATTAGCTACTCTCAAGACAGGGCTACTTGGGTAGTGCAAAATAGAGAGATATTCTCGAAGCCACAACGCTTGCTCGATACGAAGTGGTTATTTCCTTACATAGACTCTACACGGTAAATGATCTGCCGGATGGGCTCCCCCTTTTTCGAACTGATAGGCTCTCTCGCCATCAACAGTGACCTTAGACTTTCGCGGATGTAGCGCATCAAACTCCTCGGATGCATCCTTAATGTCGAACTCTCTTGCCGTAAGAGCCAATATCACCTTGAGCTCACTCATTACGAGGGTTTGTCCTTGGTCCAAACTCGAACGGTCTCCACGCCCATTTTGTGGGGTATATAGGATCATCCGAATTTACCATCCATCTTTCTGGGAGAAATTCCTCAGCCCTAGGCCAGTATTTTGGGCTTTTCTGAATTACTTGATGGATGATCCAGATCATAGTGCCTCCGGACGGGTACCGATGCAGGTGGGAATAATCGCATTGCTTCTTTGATGATACTAGTAGTATAAGGTAGCTGGTTCAATAACTGCGGGTTGGCGACGATAGCAGCTGGTTAAACAAAAGGCCAGGGCTATACGAAGGCGAAACCAGTATAAAAGAAATGCAACCGCCAGCTAATAAAGCCTTCTAAGTCCCTCCACTCACTTTCTCTTTCTACAGTATGACGATGATTGTCGTGACAGCAGAATTCTTTTTTTCGCTATAGCAATCGTCAATGGATGTCTTGAGTAGCCAGGTAGATGAAGAAGTGTTATTGGTGGATATAAGTAATCGGTTATATTTATGTTGGTGCCATGGCATCATCTGTCTATTTATCCGGCTCTTCAAAAGTGCACATTCTACTTAGAATGTTACCTTTCTTAACAGTACGGCTTCAACTCTCTGCTATTTAATCGACGGCAAGCCTTGAAGGTAAGAATGATGAGCCCGCAAACACACAGGCAGGCAAAATTTGGCCTGTCGCAGAAAGCTGCTCATAACTCTGTTCAAGGGCAGCCTTGGGATGTTATTGAGAAAATGTTGGCAAATATTTGGGCGCCTGATAATCCCGATGGTTTGTAAGTTTGCCAATCATATTGACACTGTTCCAGCGGGTGCAGTAGGTCTTCTATGCTAAACAGCCAAAGAGTCTTCCTCGGTGTGGCTGAGAATACCCTTATGCAACAAGAAATAGCCAATTATATCAAATACCACGTAAGTATATGCGAAACCATCCTAGATTCGTGTCTCTGATAAGTCTCCTAGTCAAACATTATTTCAAATGAGCATTTGGGATATGGAGTCGGCCCTCGAGGCTCGCCGCGACTGAAAAGGGCTTTGGCCTTGTTTTTCAATTCGGAATTCCGGACATCTGAGCCTGTATTGGAGCGAGAACTTCTCGTCTTACCTGGAGTTGCGGCTGTCATTGACGCCTTGACATGGTCAACCTGTAACGATGGGGAGGGCATTATCACTCCCGTGCCTTTCTACACAGGCTTTAAACCCCTCATCTCTGGAAGATCGCGTGGAATACTCGTACCCGCGCCATTCCAGTGCATAGAGGGGTACCAGGGCTTGGATGATATTTTTGACCCTTCGATGAACAAGAAAGCACTCGAGAACGCAATTATTCAGGCTACTCAAGATGGGGTGAAAGTCCGGGCTGTAATGATATCTAAGTAAGAAAACTCAAAGACTGAAGTCGCTTGATATGGAGCATTGGTTAACTCACGGTTCTTCAGTCCTCAAAACCCACTAGGGAGATGCTATGTGAGCCTCGTTCTTTGGGGTGCAAGTGATATACACTGACAGCCAGCAGCCTGCCGAGACGCTCAGAGAGATTGCACGATTCTGTACTTCTCATGAACTGCACCTGATCAGTGACGAGATCTTTGCAATATCAGTCTACGTCAATCCACAGGCTGCGAACGTCACACCATTCACATCGATCCTAGAACTGGACCTTGACGACTGCATCGATCGTCATTTTGTTCATGTCGCGTACGGGATGAGTAAGGATTTTTGTGCCACAGGACTTCGACTGGGAGTTCTACAGTCTAGGAATGAAGGTCTTATAGCCGCAGTATCTAGCATATGGTAAGCCGCATTCTATCATGTTGGTCAAAATGCTGTAACATTAAATTCACAGCGTTTTCGGATGGGTGTCCTATGTCACCCAAGATATGTGGGCAGATATTCTTTCGGACGAACAATTCCTGGTTGATTTCAAAACCAAAAATCGCCAGTTGCTAGCAAAACATTGTTCAATCATGAGATCATTCTTGGACCAACACGGTATTCCATTTTACACTAACGTGTGAGTTCTCCGAACGTAGATAGATACGTGCACAAGGCTAAACTACTACAAAGTAATGCGGGTGTTTTCATCTGGGTCGATCTACGTCGCTATCTATACAGTGAACCGGGACAAAACAGGGCACCCAATGAAGCAGATCAAGCGTCTTCTATGCTCGATAAATATCGAGATGGTGAACTGAAGCTGTTCAATCGCTTTCTTGAGGCAGGCGTCGGTATTGCCCGGGGAAGTAGCTTCTCTACCGAAGAGCTGGGCTGGTTCCGCGTCAGCTTCGCTATTGAAGAGCAGGCTTTGAATCTTGGGCTTCAGAGAATGGTTGCATGCTTGGTTTCTATTCAAGCTGAGAATGAGAATAACAAGGGCTAAAGAGGAGTATCTACGAGCCCTTATGACACGTAGAAACGAATAATATAGGAAGAATGTACTGATTTGTCTTAAATACTACGCGTGATACTATTTCTACTTAAGTTTGTCACACTTCTCTTCCAGAGTTTCCTATACGTCTCTCGCTGCTAACGCCTCTATCAGAGTCTGTGCAAAGCCTTGAACGTGTTCAGAATTGATCATAGTATAATGTTCGCCTTTTACAGCGTGGAACCTGGGCGGTTCATGTACAAAATCGGCCCAGCGGCTGAGATAATCACGTAGCCAAACCTCGCGCGACTTCGCAACCGCCTTCAACGGTATGCAATAGAAAATATCAATGCTATTTACTTGACCAGATGGATCGTAAGCGCTCGCCATCCGTTGAAGCCCAAATGCCACATCGACCCAGCGTGCCAGAGCATCTATCTCCAGATTTAGGCCCTCCCAACGTGGTTTATCGGCTATCTCGAAAACTCTATGCAGAGCCCCAGAGCGCGGCACACCGCGGAACGTAGGATCGATCTCCAAGATCCCCGAAGTTTCCTCGGTGATAATGCCCAGGAAATGGCTTAGGTGCAATAGACATATGTTCCATTCGAGCGTACGGATACGCTGCTTGATGTGCGGCGGTAGGTTGAACGAGCCAAGGAAGCGTACTTCGTCGCCGCTGGCCCTCAGTCGCTTCGCAGTCTCGAACGCCAGCATCGCGCCGTAGCTATAACCAGCCAGAGCGTACGGTCCATGTGGTTGGCGCCGGCGGATCGCTGCGGTGTAGACGTCGACGGTCTGCTCGATACTGTCGAAGCCTGGGTTGTTCGGTTCGAAACCGGCGGCGCGGAGAGCGAGCACCGGCCGGTCGTCGGCCGCGAGACACTTGGCCAGGCCGATGAAGACCAGCACCTCCCCCACGCCGGGATGAATCAGCCAGAGAGGTGTTTTGGCACCCTCGGCGCGGAAGACGACCACGGGATCGTAACTTTCGAAAGATGTCGATATAGAATTGTTTTTCTTGGAGCACGCATCGATCTCAATGGCCAAGGCCCTAACGGTGGGGTTCTTCATAATCAAAACCACGGGCACATCGATTCCCAGACGTCTCTCAATTAAATGCTTGAGCTTAATCACGTGCATTGAGGTGAATCCGATATCGAAGAGAGACGTTTCTGGTCCCAAAGTCACTTCTTCCGTACCACGGTCGAGCGTTTCCACCACATGTTCGAGGAGCTTGGCTTCCGCCTCATTTGGCCGCCAAGGCATGACCCCGTTCCGCTTGGCTACGGCTGTAGACGCACGGAGAAGTGCATGTTGATGACATTCGAGGTCCTCCACAAAGGTTCCATCCTCAAACAAGCGCGTCATCTTGAGGCGCGACAGCTTGCCCAAAGCTGACCTGGGGAGCAGTGGTATCGTCACTTCGCGGAGAGCGAAAATTACAGGTAGAGTCGCGGTGCGGAGCAGGCACTCCTGCTTCGCCAGTCCGGCAATATCTGCCATTTCCTCGTCCGGCACCGGGAAGGTTTTGGGGATATATGCAATTGTTACCTGCTCCGTGTGTAAGGCCGTCGAAGTGGAAGAGAAAACAACTAGTCGTGCGACGCGGTTGCCCAAGATCTTCTCCATAGCGGTTTGCACATCGATGGCGACTATCTTGACACCGTTGATATTGATGACTTCCTGAGCGCGTCCCACGAGACTGAGATTGCCATTGTCATCAATCCGGCCTCGATCGCCAGTCCGAAACCAGTGCTCCGGTGTTAAAGCTTGCTGAGTGGCCGTTTTATTACGATAGTACCCTTGGAAAACGAGCCGGCCACGAACTTCAAGGCCACCCGCTTCACCGGACGCCGCTGGCTGCCCATCAGACGCTACGATACGCATCTCCATTCCACCCAGGCATTTTCCCAGAGAGGCTACGAGGTGGCCACGAGAAACGTCGTACTGAGGGCAATTGGTATTGTAAACAGCCCCGGCACACGTTTCTGTCATTCCAAACCCAGGAGAAATTACGTTACATGGAGCTCCATGTTTCGAAAACAACGCGCTCGCTGCTACACAAGTTTGAATGTCGTTTGCCTCCCCCCCAGATGTCACGCAGACCAAGCCTGAAAGGTCCCATTTCGGAGTACTCTGAAGTGATAGGGACTCAGCAGTCGATCCAAGCTTTGCAAGGAAGAAGTTTGGAGCGAACGTGAGCGATACACGGTGTCTAGTGAGCAAATCCAAGAACGTTGTAGGAGACGTCACGACATCGGCAGCACTCACGTGAATCTGGCCAACACCTAGCCATAATGCCTGGAGGTGACTCTCAAGCAGGCCGGCGACGTGGTCAAGGCCGATCCAGTTCAAGAACGGTCGGTCTAGGGGAAGTGCCCGCATCGCAGCCTTGCTCGATACCGCAGCCAGCGCTTGTTGATGGGTGATTTCAACAGCTTTAGCATTGCCTGTGCTTCCAGATGTCAACATGAGCATCAGCAAGTCTCTATTCGTATAAATCCTTTCACTCGGGATCTTGGTGTCAGCTGCTTGGCCGCTTTGACTTTCGTCGACATCCTCCGTATGATAAGATGCTTTTTCGGATGCCTCGAGCAAACTTTCCACAGACTGCAAATGTATATCATGAAAATCCCCGAATGCTGGCAAGAATTTAGATCTGGTGAAACAGATTGGCGACTCTAGAAGAGCAGACAACATCCGAATATACTTATGCCGCTCCTCTTCTATGTTGCTGAAAGGAGATGAGAGAACGGGCAAGCCGCCTGCAAACAGAACAGACCAGAACAACAAAATTGTATCCCAATGATCGTCGAAGTGTAATAGCACGGGGTCGCCAGCTACGAATTTTCTGTGACGCTGGATACTACGGCTGATACGCTGCGTCTTCTTGTATAGGCTCGTGTACGTGATCTCTATAGGGCTACAGGTATTTCCCAAGGGGTAAAAGAGCATATTTTGAGTGCACTCAGAGTGCGCTCTCTCTTTGAGGACCTCCTGGAAAGTCTTTTGTGTAGCCATGTTGTAGAGTTGACAGTTGACAAGTTTAGTAGCAAGCAGCTTCGGGACTTCTCTATGCCCATGAGCAAATCGTGAAACTTTTCTATCAGAATATCCAACGTAAGCGTAGTAACTTAGCTTTACAGCGAATTGTAATTTGCTAATACTCTTCCACCATTGGGTACTGTTGGCGATATGGGACCATCAATGCAAGATTAGCTCTATCAGTACGAACCTTGGAAGGTACAGAATCCTCGCCTCGCCTCTCACTACGCGAGAACACCCGAGTATAACATCAAATCACTCTCCATTTACCCACCATCAAATGTGATATGCCTTCCTCCAGCATATGCATGCTCCACTGTGTGTATACTCCCGTATCCGTTTAGTGAAAGCGCTAATAGTATCTGCTTTGCCACTGAGAAGAAGACTGATGAGGCATATGCCGTTCTGCATTGTCATTCAAACCTTGTATAGGAAGGTGTACATGTGCGTAACCAGGCGGTTACATGCTTCTTGGGCTTTTAGGCAGGTGTCATCGAGTATGACGAGGTCGTATGCAGTCGACTGGAGTTAATAATTTATTGTTGGTTGTAATAATATTATTATTGGGCGTACCATTATACAAGAGTCTATGTCCTGTCTTCCTCCGGCATGGGGTGCGTGATTGAAACATACCCCTAAATCAACTCGCTTATTCAAGCACATCCATATAGTTACGCCGCGTTGGAACATGATTAGGGAGTTTATCAAAATTGCTGCCGAACCTATTTTGGTAATTGGTTGGTTTTATGGTATTAGTGCTAGCGCTATTGGTTGACTGTAGAAAAACCAACAGCCACCAGCCTTCTCTTACGTCACATCTGCCTCTCTGATCGCTGGACGTTGCATGTAAACAATTGCAGAATGTTAGGCTTACTCTGCAAGGCGTCCCTTGTAGATGCAGAAATATGATCTGCATCTCACTGCATACGCCCATTTCAAAATGTATGTAAAATTATCTGCAGCATTCGATGGCTCCCCATTGCTGCGTATCCTAGTTTCCAACCGGTTAATCTTTGAAAGTCTCTGATTTGACTGTTCCTTGCGCAATATCGACGAATGGAGTTGTGTGGGCAATTGCATGAAATACACCCGGTCACTGTCCACTTATCTACCTATGTAGTACATCAGCAGATTATTGGTCCGGAAAAAATAAGCGTAGCAGTTAGTAAAATGGAGATAATTTGGACAAAAATGACTTGTAAATCTAATGTTACATTATTCGCTTCGCCATAGAATTTGGTGATTTTTTTAACGTTATTGTGTTTACCCACAATTGACTCCGATAGAGAGGAGAATTGAGAATTCAGTGAATTGCCAAAAGTACCCAGCTTTTGTCTTTCAAGAAGAAACATGGCTTCCAAGGAGTCTCTATCGAGAATCGTACAACTTGCAAATACGATCAGTACTTCAGTGAGAAATATTGAGGAAGTCCTGTCTGCCAAGGGTATCGCATCGCCTAGTTTTGATGAAGATGCCTCCTTCAACATCCCTCTCGAGTTGAACACTCATCATGACGCTGTGCTTGACGCTACCGCCGAGCTTCATGATCTTCTGCTGGAACCATTGAACCTGATTCATAGGCATGGCGGCGTACGTATGTTATCCGATTAGAAGACCCCGAACGCTGATTCCAAGGACAAGCACAATAATTCTTTATGTATGCAAGCTATCGCAGAGTTCAAAATGGCGGATCTTGTTCCATTGAAAAACCAAATATCTTTCGATGATATCGCCAGTCAAACGCCACTAACCAGTGAGATGACCGCTCGAATTCTCAGACATGCGATGACTATGCGTATCTTTCGCGAGCCCGAACCGGGAATGGTTGCCCATACTGCTGCCTCGAGAACACTAAGCCATTCGCCGGCCAACGACTGGCTAGCGGCTGGTACGAAGGAAATGTGGCCGGCAGCTACCAAAGTCAGTGGATCATATTGCTCTCCATGTCATCCTCTCCACAAGGCTAATCGGTTCACAGATGGTTGAGGCTCTTCACAAATGGCCAGCTTCTCAAGAGGCAGATGAGACGGTAAGGTCCTTTACTCCTTCGACTAATGAACTAAAATCACTCAGTAATCCATCTTTTATAGGGGTACGCGTTGTCAAACGATACGCAAGAGACAATTTATCAAATTTTCGCCAAAGATACGGCGCGGGCTTCGCGCTGGGCAAGAGGGATGCAAGTCTTCACTGAGAGACCCCAATTCAATTTATCTTATGTCACCGACCATTATGACTGGGAATCTTTGGGTCCCGCTCAAGTTGTCGACGTTGGAGGCTCCCAGGGGCACGTCTCCATGGCATTGGCGAGAAAATTCAAGAACCTCAACGTTATTGTTCAGGACATGGAAAGAGTGGTTGAGAACGCCACAGTTCCGGAGGATCTACAAGGAAGAATGAGATTCATGGCCCACGATATCTTTACACCTCAACCTGTTCAAGGCGCTGAGGTCTACTATCTGCGATGGATTCTGCACAACTGGTCCGATAAGTACTGCCTTTTGATCTTGCGTGCACTGGTCCCTGCGCTGAAACGCGGAGCGAAGGTCATCATTCAAGAAACTTTGATGCCAGAGCCCGGAACAGTGGCTCTTTGGAAGGAAAAGAATCTGAGGTCTGTGAGAGGTTATTTAAAGATAATGGACATACACTGACTGGAAGCATTCTACAGAGCGACCGACTTGAATATGGCTTCCGCTTTTAACGCCAAGGAAAGAACGGTGACTGAGTTTAAATCTTTGCTCGAAAGGAGTGACCCAGCGTTCACGCTTAGGAGAATTATCGAGCCAAATGGATCAGCACTTGGTATGGTGGAATTCTTCTGGGAAGGTACAAATTGAAACTATTTCAAGTTGCAAATTGATTTGGCTTTGGCGAAGCTTGGGTGACTTCCCAATATCTGATGTATTACGTTTTTACTGAAAGAACTTTTGCAATGATCTTTCTATTATTATACCAAGCCCTCGAGAGTACATGCTTGGAATTCCGCTCCGTAAGACAATGTTGATATGTATCAGTTGCCCTAAACTCATTCAGAGTATCCCAAAACGAAATTCAAACTGTGGGAATACTTCGATGCACAACATTTTCAAATTGCTACAGCGAGAATAAAGTTTATGACTTGTCTCTTACTTTTTTATTCATTGCTAACTTGGTTACCTTCTCTCTTACCTGTCATGACTTGCTATCTGGGTTCGCGGTAAGCGCACGTCCATAACACTCTCATAGCCCTGAGGGTAATACGTGTACGTATGTACGAGCTCGAGACCTACATGCTCAAAGGTCTCACGCCACTGTGCTTCGGTACGCTCCATACTGGCGAACGCTGAGAGCATGGTCATATCGATAGAGGCAGCGATATAGTTTACGCGAGAGTTAGGGAGAACCAACTCATCAACAAGTAATATTGAATCGGATCCCATAGCGGCCTTAATGTTCTCGAGTAGTTGTTGCACCTTGAGCGGGGACTGGTTGTGTAGCACCCCGCGCAGGTGATAAAACTTGGCGCCTGCAATATACACAGATTAGTCCGGGAAAAGGCTAAATTTCAGATGAAAAGCTTCCTTTGTGTACATACCGAGAATGGGCTGCCGCTCAAACATATCGTGCGCCATATTCTCAACACCAGGCGTAGGGAGTGCCTGCGCCACCGAATGCGGCAAGTCCTGAAGCACAATACGGCCTTGTAACGAAGGATATTTCTCCTTGAACTGAGCGCATTGGTGACCAATACCACCGCCAATATTGATGAAGAGACCCTTTTCGGCAGACCATTTGGCAGCCTCTTCGACCACAGGATATACAGATAACCAAGTGACATCTGGATTCCGGCGTAGGGCCATATATGCATTGAAATAAGCCAGGTGTCTAGGATTGCTGGCAAACCAGGCATACGAGTTCAGTGAAGTATCAAATGCCAACTGAAAAGCGGTTTTTGTGTCATCGGTAGGGTTCTTATAACCATTTTCTTGCAAGTAGACTGGCAGCGCTTGGTATTGAGGCGCAGCCGTGTTAAAGCTAATGTATGTAAGTGAAGAGAAATAGCATAGTTGTTCCAGGAGCTGACATACTAGTGAGAGAGACCAGCCTCGACTACACTCTCCGCGAGATTGCGAGTTACATGATTAGCACAGTACTGATATTTGTCGCTCTCACTAACAGCACCGATAGAAGCAAGGAACCTTAGAATACGGTCTGTTTGTACTGTTAGGTTCAATTCCAGACACTAATGGACGTAGCGACATACTCATCAGTTGACCTTCCGCCCCTGTTTTCTCCGAGATTTGCTGGACAGTGAGTGGCACAACAGACTCAACTAGGCACCTAAACAGTTTTAGATCAATGCCAACTTGGACTAGAGCAGCTTGGAGGCTCTAGAAGTGAATTAGCCCTCATTTTGAGCCACGATACTTGTGAGCCAAACCATGTGTCCATATCGATGGAGAGTGTAATCAGGAGTCTCTAGAGAAAATGCCAGGTTCTGGAGAGCTATAATCGCCTGCTGGCGACTATGTTGGCTTGCCGTCGCTAGTCTTTTGACTTGATCAAGAGCCTCTTCCATGCTGAGTCGACATGTAAAGTCCGCCTGAATATGAGTTCTTGGGGACTAAAATACCCCAATGGTATTGATATCCGATGCTACATATTTTACTTTTATAGTGCTCTACATGAGTTGTGACTTACCCAGCTCGTATCCGGATAAGGAGAATCTTTCCTAAACCATGGCATGTAATGTCATATCTATTGACAGGGTTATGCAAGTCTCAAATGATGAGGGGTGAGGGATGACTCCAGCACGCCGATCCACTATACTGCATATGGAACCATGCACGGAGGGGCGAGGCAGATTGAGGCAGCAGGTTATGGGCAAGGCTGCAGGAAAACTGACATTTCATGCATACCACTCCCTCTCGGCGTTTGGTAAACTACATGCCTCAAATTCTCATGCACGGAGAAATGAAGCAGAAAAGACCTCCATGAGAAACAGAACGCTGCCACTTGTAAAGATCAGAGCTTTTCATCTTGTCAGAACACCTTCAATTGCGTTGCTTCCTCCAAAAGTATGTCCTGGGTGCAGAATCTTCTTTACTTCATTGTAGGGGTGGCTATAGCTAGCTTCGGCTTTATAAATATCCAGTTGCTCCAATTGAAGTTTTCCCAGCGGCCAGCCCTATGGGAAAAGCTGGACGCTGTTTGCCCACCACCGGAGTACTGCCCGCCTACATTCGCTCTCAATGTCGCTTCATCCATCATTTTTACACGGAAGTTTGCAAACGAGGGCTATCGAAAGTTTAGCAAAGCTTTGGATCGGCCGTTTGCACTACTCACACCCTGGGTGCGTGGCAGTACTGTGATCGTACTGCCACCGTCGAAGATCCCACTGCTCACACGCTCAGACAAGACCAAGGACGGCCAGTGGACGAATCTGCATGGCTTGGTTGAAACTACCCAGCTCGCCTACGTGATTCCCGATTCCAATATCTATGAGAATGTACTACATTTCGATGTGGTGCGTCGAAAAATGATGGCACCGGAAGACATCAGTCGCCTCGCGCCCGTCATCGCGGACGAAATCAAGCTTTCCTTTCGTGAGCAATGGGGGACAGAAAACGAGTGGAAGAGTATCAATGGTTGGGATGGCTGTGGCAAGATCATTGCTCGCGCAGCACAGCGAATCCTCATTGGCTTACCCCTGAGCCGCAACGAGAGCATGCTGGAAACATCAAGACAGTATGCCACTTCGCTCCTTGTGGGTGGCGCTATCATTAACTGTTTCCCCCCATCGATCCGGTGGGTCGTGGCGCCGCTAATTTCGCTGCGTGCCCGGCACTTTCAAGCGCGTTATGTCAAAATGCTGCTCCCCCTCGTGGAAGAGCGCCTCCTCACTCGCTTAGCAGAAAAGGGGGGGGAACAGGTTCCAGAGGAAGTGCCCGATGACTTTCTACAATGGATGCTTCCCATCTGTGCCAAAAATAAAGATCCGGCCCAAAACCAGCTAGATGCCCATCGAATTGCGCTCCGTCTGGCCAGCCTCCTGACCCCGCTAATCTTTGCTGTCTGCTACGTCTTCGCCCACTGCGTCGTCGACATTCATAGCAGCAACGCTCGCGCCAATATTCTTGCCGGCCTGGAAGAAGAATGTAGCCGCGTTTCCGCTCAATATGGGGGGCTCACAACTAGCGCTTCCGTTGATGCTCTGAAGCGCGTCGACTCAGTCTTGCGAGAGTCGATGCGCATCTCCGACGTATCAGTGACCAATATCTTCCGCGACGTCACCGCCGGCGAGGTGGACATTGGAAACGGCATCCGTGTCGGTCCTGGTGTGCGTATGGTGTTTCCTACCCAGGACATTCATCTGGATCCAGATAACTACGAAGATCCGATGCGATTTGATGCATTCCGCTTCTCGAGGTCTTTCGAGAATGAGTATGAGTATAAGCATCAGGGTTCCAAAAACCGAGCAGAAGAGCGAGATAGTGAGCGTGAACTCATTACCACAACCACGCCGACATTTTTGCCCTTCGGATACGGCAGGCATGCTTGCCCTGGGCGGTGGTTCGCTGCTCAGGTTATGAAGCAGGCGTTGGCTTATCTGGTCCTAAACTACGACGTCGAATTGATAGGGCCACCGCCGAAGAGAAGAGCTCTGCTGAATATGATGGTACCTCCTGTAGGCGTGCAAATTCGAATGCGACGAAAGTAAGTTTGACATGAATTATACAGAGAATAAGGAATAGTTGATGAAACAAGAGGCTGTAGTTTTCATGTGGTATATTCGATAGAGAACAAATACTGGTCAAGTGAAGGAACTTACATGCAATCGGGTGGATTAATGTTACTAAGCACTACTCGTGCAATCTCTTTTGACAGTACCTATACTTTTGAGAGCTTCGGCTATGATTCTGCGGATTATATATCCAAACAATAGTTATCGAAGTTAGATCTTAGTCTAGAATACTACTTTAGATACTACTACATTGACTTGCAATAATACTTGTTACCATAAAGTCGTCTTTTGAATACTACTGTATACTTCAATATAATAATTCCATTTGTAAACTAGAAAAGAACTATCAATCTCAGGGTGTATACAGAGCAGTCCTATTACTCAGAGAGCTTTCTTTCCTATCTAAGTATAAGTCTGTTTCACTGCTTCTTTCTCGCGTTTTAGGAAATCCTTGAATGTTGTCAATGGCGCAATAGCTCTAAGCAAGTCTAAGTCAACATAGTCTGAAGCAGTGCGCAACACTTTGTGTGTGCTTGCGAAACTCGTCCCGTCATCCTGAGCCTCAGTCTCCTCATCTGTCAAGAAAATAGCTCGGATTGAGCCTGGTTGGCCTGCTGCTTCACCAAGCAGATCCAGTATTTCCTGAACGCGCATCTGGTCGCTGGCCAATCCAATAGCACGGCCATAAAACGTGACAGGATCTTGGAATGCGGCTACGGCAAATTTGGCAATGTCAACATGGTCGAGGATAGGCAGCTGAGTCTCATTTGTCATTGCCGTGGTCCAGCGACGATGATCACAGATTTCACTGTAACGCTTCACCTTAGGCTTAAGGAAGTTGGCCATGAAGAATGTTGGACGCAGGAAGGTAAAATACTCAAAGCCGTGATCTTCGACTGCTTTCTCAATAGCTTTCTTATTAAGCATATGTTTTTCCATGAAGGACCCGGGATAGACGCGCACGTTTGCATCAAGCTGAGAGACACCAAGTGTAGTGGAACTGACAACTTGTTTTACGCCAGCTTCTTTGGCGATTTGCAGGATAATTTGACACTAACAATGGTTAGCTGCCTTAAACTGCTCCTCTTTGTGCTTTTGGCAACAACTACAAACCTGACGAAGCTCGCGGCTTGGGTCATCCCAGTCCGGCATGAGACACAGAAAGAGCTTGTCACATCCCTTAATGCTGTCCTTGAGAGCAGCAGCGTTGTCCCAGTCGCACTCATTAAGATGCACACCCATATCCTTCAAAGCTATGGCGGCAGCTGAACTCAGGTTACGTGTAGTTGCATGCACATTCCAGCTGATCTCGCGGAGTCTTCTAGCCAGAGCACCTCCCTGATAGCCAGTCGCGCTACAGACAAACACAGTATGATTTGAGGAGGACATATCCGAATCACTGAACAAAGGCACGTAGAGTTGTTTGATAACAACCTCATCAAATTAACACGAAGATGTGCCGTACTTGAACCCCCAACTTCCCTTCGAGAGTGCGTTCTGCAAGCCATGGATGAATAAGCACCCCTTGTCAAATAACAAGTTTTTCTAAATACCAAGATTTAATGCAGAAAGGAAAACATGTAAGTCGTGGGGTAGTACAGAACCAACACTATCACCTCACATCATCACGTTACAGTCGCATTTCCTGAATTGCCCTAGAGAAAACAGAAGTAGCGGAACAGTGGCTGAATTGGCGTCATTGCCAACATTTTTTTCAAAGTCTGTATGCAGCACATACTTCAAGTGAAGAGCTATCAGCCATACACTGTAACATGGGGGTATTTTCTCGCTTAACTGAATTGAGTAACATGCCCAGGTGATCGTCGAATCCCACCGGCTACAATATCAGTGCTTCCCTGCTTTTTTTCAACTAAACAACTCAGCTCACATTACAGGGGCCATAGCGAGCAGTGGGTACTGTATATTTATCCAAGGCGAGGGGCTCAATCCCATAGTAATCAATGATGCAACAGGCTTGTAGTGTGCGATCATGCAGGCATACAGCGAGTGGTAACGACTTCCAAGTTGGTCTTAAATCCAGAGACTATGCGGGTGTTGTGCTTGGTTACAAGGGGCGTAGTATATTATTCCCATGGTATATGTGTTGGTTTTATCCCCCTACGCCTCCCAATCAGAAATAGTTTTCACGTTGGAGTTTACACCATGTACGCTTCATTCGGTCCTCCTCTTCCATGCATGCGCCCCGATAAGCCGAATTGCTCCCTTTCAGCTTCCAATGCACGTATAGGACGACTCTACCCCCGCCCTACAAGTATACAACACGACTGTTGTAGATCTTTCCGACCTGCACTTACGGGGCCTAGCATAATTTCGGTGTTGCCCTCTAGCGGCGTTGTTCTGTTGAATTGTCCACTTGCAGAACAGCGAGCTAACAACCTCCCAACATGTAGGATTATGTTACTGTCCCACATGTATGTAGATCTGACGACCTGCACTTAATTTCTGCCCCCGGTAGCGTTTCATTATTCTGCATTGGCCGCACCGGGAAGACCTGTGGTCGTGGCCTGGAGTATTCACACTGATCACCCTGATTATCGCTACTCTCGAAGTTGCACTGAATGGAAAGTCCTTGATGAAAGGCCACGGAACGAGTGCTGATCCTGATTAGGAAGGCGAGACTTGATGAAAGGGGTTTGAGGGTTGAGAGTTACATTTGGGCCAGATGGCTTGAATGGATTCAAGTTGAGCTCAGTACTCAATAGTATGTTTTCACGTTTTGTGATTTTAAGTGTTCACTAAGCCGCTGCCAAACCAGGCCATGGAAAGTTAAAAAGACATTAAATATGGAAGAGAGACATTCTCGCTAAATTTTTATTCATGATATTTAACGTACACGTCTTGTAATTAACTAAAAGTTATATTTGCCATTTCTTTCCCCAGATGAAGATCTGAACAGAAGTCTCGAGACCGTCGGGATTTCAAGGGTCTCCAACTCGATCGGACTTGACATTGAAATTATCTGTCCTGAGTATCTTCTTTGGGTCAATGCTGGAGTCGTAGGTTTGGTGAGTGGAAAGATCAGTGTTCCCGGCCTGAACAACGGACTCAGACTCAGTTTGCCCTGTAAATCCCAATTCGTAGTACATCCCGTTTTTACTTTGACCAAGCCCCTCAGCGCTGTCCAGCTTAGACTTTGACCCCTGGCTGCTCACTAATTTCCGTAATGACGAAATAAGTCTCTCCGCGATTGGGACCTGAAGCTTGGTTACCGAGCTCAGAGGCGGGGCACAACCCATGATGATAACAAATGACTGCTCTAATGAGGACCACATAAGGGCTAAGGAGGACTTATACTGTTTGTCTGCTGTAGTCTTCGTTCCACTAGCCGCAACCACGGCTTTGGCTATAGAACAGCCCATAGTAAACAGTGACATCGCAAGGAGGAAGATTAAGCCAAGCTTTTGCCGGAGCGCCATATTGAGTTTCCATACGATCATCACGGGAAACAAGACATAGCACAAGTCTCCAAGCGCGAAGAGGGCTTCAAGGGGATTTCCGTCAGTATGAAAATCCTAAGACAGACGGCATAGAGTATGACTTACCTCCCCCCACATTACCCTCCCGTGCTACTACCTCTGGACTCAAGCGATGAGCATGAATCTTAGGGTTCCATAAGCCCTCGACTGGCCTTACTTGTAGCCAGCTAGTCAATGCCAATGCCACGCTCATAGCTACTTGGAAGACAGTAAGTACTATCAACAACCACTTGAGCCACACCCGGACTCCAAAGATACGGACGAGAAGTATGCATATTGAGATCCTGGATACGATTGAGGACGTAATACCAGGTGTAAATGACATCCATATCCATTTGGCGATGCCAACCGCCTGCTTGAAGTTTAGAGCTTTGTCGTGTTTACCGAAGCCGTAGGTGAAGCACACAGTGAGACAAGATTGGCAGACGAGGTTGAGGGCCTACAGAGTTTTCATATTAGAATGTTATAAAGACAACGAGGTTGTAGTGGCCAACTTACCGCAGCCAGTAACATGAGCCAATCCTCAACGTATAACTTTTTGGTCACAGAAACACGGACCCAAAAACGAACGCTGACAGCGATAATAGCGACGGTACAGAATGTCCAAGTCACGCCCATTACTAAAGGTCCGTGGCCTAGGTCATTTGGGTCGACCGCATGGGGAGGTGTAGACATCGCAAGTGGTTAAGTACTGTGGAACGTTGCTATCGTAGGCTTCGGTTGTAGCGGTGAGAGATAACTTCAAGGAAGTGATCTGCTGGAGAAAAGTTGGAGACGCTTGATATATAGCCCGCGCATAAAACACACAACCTGAAAAACGTGGCTCTTCCGCAGATCGATTGCCACCCTCTTCATGAAAGGACCATCCTTTACAGTCAGCCAACAAAATCCCTTGTCAAATCTAAAGCACCTCCAATAAGAATGGAAACAAACGCCAGCTGCATATCAGATACCCACTAATTGTTTAGTCTCACCGTTTAATGTAGTACCAAACTCGGAAGTTTCTTGCAGGGAAATCGAAGGATTCATTGGCAAAAGTCTTCATAATATGCTATGATTGAGGGCAACCCTCTGTGGCCTACGACTGAGTCCAGATGGAGGTAATTTGTAAGCGCGGGTATGTATCATACACTGTTCAGGAGAGAAACGGCATAGGAGGTAATTTGGTCAAAGTGCTGCAAGTAAGACTCAATTTGGCTACAAAGGTTCTAAAGAATCCGCACTGGTCGTAATAAGGTTCCATCAGCACCTACCACCCAATCGCGAAATGGCCGAGACATCTAGAACCGGTGGTCTATAACCCATTGTTTATATCAATCGCTACAATTCATGCCTCTCCAGAACAAGTTACGTCCCAGTGAATCTCCAAGATCCCCAACAAAGAATCTTTAGGCACATAAACTCGGTGAAGAACGAATCTTTTATCGGCCGCAGCAAGCAGGTATTTCCATTCGTCTAGATACCGTTCACGACCGTTGGAGAAGCATTCTAGAGCTAAGTCCACTGATCTATCAAATTTCAGTCAGTAAATTCTCCTTTCGTGTTTTTTTCTTTGCGTAGCTCGTAAAAACACTTAAATACGAACCTTGAAATTCGCTCTCTCCATAATGGGATGGTGTCTGGTTCCGGCATGCATACATCTTGAAGGAGGATCTTTACCCCGGATTCAAGGACTGGAATTTGTGCTTTCAAAACTTGAACAGCATACTTATCACCCAAACTACGGAAGGCCATGCGAAAGAAATAGACAGGTGCCTTAATCGTCTGCGGCTCAAAGAGGCCATGAGCCATGAACTCAACACGTCCTTTCAACTCTTCGGGGACTCCTGATTCCGCGCCTTGTATCATGTTCGCTGAATCTTGAACAAGTAGCCTGATATTTCCAAAATTCTTTGCCAGCTCAATTGCGGCCTGGCCCCTAGATCCAGCAACATTGACGATGCGCACGTTTCCTAGAGAAGCCCAATCATAAACTGTGGAGACGTTCTCGATGGCGTAACCGGGAACGTAGTCTATTGCTTGCATTCCAGACGCAAAACGCATTGCTCGCTCGGGGCTCGTAGTGACGATATCTTGGACTGACTTGTTGTTGTTCGCAAGAATGAAGCCCTGTATACATCAACACGGGCAGTAGCTTGGCCCTCAGGAGTCGGACACGATATGGGGAAGACTTACAGTCTCGTTTGCTTCTTGTGAATTTGGCCATTTCTGAATCGCGTCTACAATCTACGGCCACGAGTGTGTGTTAAGTAACCCTGATGTGGGGTTTGATGCAGAAGTATTGTGGACACTTACTCTGGTAGTGGCAGGCCAAGTCTCCCTGCTTTCAAAGTTAACCCAGCTATTTATCGACGGAATAGTCATGAATTTCGAGATTCTAGTATGTGCTACCATCTCAGGCTCGGGTTCCGTCAAGATACGCATGGACATGGCGTGTTGAAGAAGACGTCTCACAGGGCCTTTCTGAAGGCCTGTCTTTTGGGAAATCTCGTCAAAAGAGATCTGACTACCAGGTGGTATCATATCGGGGATTTTGTAACGGCTGATTGCATCGATGCTGACGAGGTTGGAGATCTGGAAGTATCCGATCAGTGAATGTAATTCATAGTCCGTGGAAGATTATACTCACAGCAGCGAATTTGAAGAGCAATGATAAGGGGTCAAGGAGCAGCTCATGCATCTCAGCAGTTGCGTCGAGGAGAGCATCCTTCAAATGGGAAATCTCAGGCGGAAAGGTATCAGGACCTTCCTCAGCAAATGACGGGCTTGACAGATTGTGGGCTGAAAGATGCTCCTGAAATTGAGCGACCAGAGTGCTGATTTGAGCAGCCAAATCGACGATTCTGGGAGTGGTTGTGGTGTTTGGGGATGCCATGGTCAATGCGGAAAACAAAAGAGCAAAAATACCAGAGAAGGCAAGAAGTCGAAGGGGCCAAGCGTAGATACCGAACACCATGCTGAAGTAATTTCTGCCAAGGGTTACACAAGGTACGGGTGCCTAAGGTAGTCTGAAGAACTTTACCGGACTTCAAAGGTGGTGGGTAAGTGTTGGTATTCTTCCAAGTCCTTCAAAGTATTTGGTCGATGTTGTAGTGTTTTTCTGATTGCATACATCCATCACCGCTGGGGTTGCGTTGCGTTAATGAAGTTCAAGGAGAAAACGTGGCTGTAGGGTGGCACAGGTCAAATGGAATGCTCCGGGATGTCAAGCCGCCCGTCAGCCCAGCACTATTTGCTGCAGCATTTTAATATAATTTCTATACCATTGTTGGTACCTACTTGGGGGTATGTACTCCGTAGGTAGCCCGTATCATACCCCGCCCTCCACATCACCACGGAGCCATGCAGAAGATCGCTTTCCATGGCATACTGGCAGCTAAGCGAGCCCCTTGCCCCTCGCTAGACGACTGATTGGTTTTGTTTTACTTTTGCGGCTAAAATGGCAAGGCCAACTTGTTTTCCCCAAAGTAGTCACCGAGTAGGAGCTTCTAAGTAATGTAACACAACCTCATCCGCATCGCCGCATTGCAAGTTCCCGCCATGTTCCACAACAGCGATGATCAATATTGCCAAAGCAGAAGTTGGCGAATTTACCGGGACGAGTCACTTCACAACTCAAGTAGGGTACTGGTCATCACTAGGGTGAATATAACAAACAACCGATTATTTCAGCTTCGGCAAGATGGCGATATTTTAAGTGAATGCCGCACTAGGCGACATGAGGAGTAAACGGCATTTGGAGTACTGTAAACGGTCTAGAGCGCATAATACGCTCGATACTTTGCATTGCAGGGAGATGTTTTGATGATGAACAGAACTTTGCGGGAGATACCCGCTACGCAAGTATCTAGACATTACTTCGAATCGTCGCTCTGACATTACCTTGTATCATCCTCTTAATCTTGATCTATCCTGCTCAAACTTGCAATGAGTTCCCACACTACCCAGTACGAAGCACTTGCAGACCAGATTGAATCCATTCTGCGGGACCCAGAGGCTGCCATCGCGCAGATTGGCGATGAAGTGACTTGCCGTCGATTAAGCGAAGGGGGACGGAAACTCGCGGCTTTTTTGGAACAGCCCAAAGACACGTTGCGAAGAATTGGTTACTCAGTACTTCAAAACCTCCGATTCGAGATTGATAGCTAATGGCAGCTGTTACTAGCATCTCCAGTTACCTCTAGCTCTCGTCGGGGTGGAATCCAAGTTGTTCTCCATTTTGGCAGCCGACCCACGCCCTTGGAACATTGCAGAGCTCACCGAGCGAACCGGCGTGGATAAAAACCTCCTCAGTACTTAATCCTCTCTTCATTGTCTTGAGGAATATTAATCGTTCCCAGAGAGACTACTTCGGTACTATCAAGCTACTGATATCATAGCTCAACTTGACGACGAGACATACCAGACCAACAACGTAACTCGGGCCCTGAGCAACGACGATCATGCAGATTCTCTTCGATGGACGTAAGGAAGCTCGAACTATTATCCCATCTCTGTTCATCACGTTAATGCTGTAATTAGACGCAAAATCACGGCCCAAGGTGCATTGAACTTTCCAGACTGGCTCCAATCGAACAAGTATAAAGATCCCGTTGGCATGTTGCCCACAGCTTGGAGCAGCGCGGTTCAAACTGATAAGCATCCCTACGGATGGTTGGCTGAAAATTCTTGGGCATTGAAGCTTGCGCAGACACACATGAATGTCCAACGGGAAGGGAGGCCATTGTTCTTCGACGCCCTGGACTTCCAAAAGCGCTTCGCAAAAGACACAACCAGCTCAACGGTTCTTTTCGTTGATGTTGGTGGCTCCATAGGACTTCAATCTCGTACTCTGCGGCGGCGGTTTCCGGATCTCCCTGGAAGGGTCATTCTTCAAGATCGACCAGAGATCATACAGCAGGCAAAAGCCGACCTCGCGTCTGCCAAAGTCGAGGCAGAGATATATGATATTTTCACGCCACAGCCCATCAAAGGTATAATTTGCCCACTGAGAAATCCAGGAGAGAGACAATTTGGCTAATATTTTCTTCTTATTTTCGCAAAGGCGCCAGAGCTTACTATCTTCGGAACATTTTTCATGCTTGGGGGGATGCCACTTGCAGAGAGATATTGCTCAATGCTAAAGCCGGCCTGACCGACGGTTCAGTGATTTTGATTGACGAAATCGTGCTACCAGAGCGAGACGCTACAACTCAAGGGGCTCAGCTTGATATAGAAGTGATGATATGCGTAGGTATGTAGACCTGATATTTTTTCATTCCGCTTGGCACACTTGAGCTATGTCTGCAATGGTTTCCGCCTTTCTCGTAATTTTCCGCCGACATCATTACACATCTCCCTGCGGTATATGAAAGAGTTGCTAAAAATAAGAACTTTGCAGGTGGTATAGAACGCACAAAGGCTCAGTGGGAAAATCTACTAAATAGCGCCGGACTACAAATGCTTGAACTGGTCAATTATGACAAGGATTTTGAAGATTGTGTGATCATTGCAGGTCTTCATTAGACATGTCTTCTGTTTGTGACTGGTTCTTGATTGATCTGTATCCAAGCGCTATTTTCTAGCCACTCACGGTTACACCGCCTCAAAGATTTGAGAATAAAGATATATTTTGCTATAATTCTTAGCTGAGAGTACATTGAAATTCAGGCGTCTTCACAAGGGCGCACAGGTCCTATATTACAATTCACACATGGTTACACGGCAATTAAGCACAGATTTTGCTTTGACGCCAATAACAAATTCATCTCTCACCATTCGGAAATCTGAAGCCTCGATGCCTTCGAATTCGAAGTCGAACCGGAGAGCCAGGGCGGCAAGAGTAAAATACAGATCCGCCCATGCCAGGCTGGATGACAATCCTGCGTTAGCAAAGGATATAAATAAGAATTAAATACATGGAAGAAATTAAGAGAGATAAACGTACTACATGCCCGCGCACATTCTTGACCCTCTCGAGAAGGGTGCATAGATCTTGCTAAACTTCTTACGCTTCTCGATATCCATCCAACGGTCAGGAATAAAGCTGTACGGTTCTGGGTACAGCTTTTCATCGAAGTGCATCAGGATCGTTGTCATTCCAACAGGCGTTGCGGCCGGAATGCTCCAGCCTTCGTAGGGAAGGTCTTCAGAAACGATGCGAGCCATTCGTGATCCGATCGCCGGACTCATCCTCAAGGCTTCCATGATAATGGACGTCAAGTACGGCAGCTTCTCCAGCTTTTTCAGGTCCATGATATCATTAGAAGATGATACCCCCTTGACTGTCAGAAGCTCGGCTCGCAGACGTTGAAGGATCTCGGGATTGCTGAAAACATGATACAGTACCAACCTCAACACTCCGGAAACAGTCTCCAACCCAGCACCAACTATGGTTTGGACTTCGTTCAGAACACGTGGTAAGGACTTGTCAGTAGGAAGGAGCTCCGAGTCGACGAGCTCGTCTACAACAGTACGGGGCGAATCTTTCTCGGCGCCGGAGGAGGATGCAGTATTCAGAAGTCTTTCCGTGTCGATGTCGATTTCCTGTAACTATGTCAGCAATTCAACTATATCAGGGGCATACCTGAAGAGCTGCTCTTACCTTAAGAAACTTAAAAAAGACCTTGGCGTCTTCGTTTGCCACTTTGGATACCATTTCAACAGGAATCGATTTTAAAGCTAGACCCAACCGGGGAAAATGTTTCGAGAAGCGCCACAGGTTACCCACGCTCTGGCACATGTTCGCTATAGCAACGTTGAAATCGTCCTTATCTAGACTTCCATATGGTTTATTGAGAATAAAATCACACTGTACATCCTGCACAAGAGCGCCCACAGCCGCGCCCAGATTGATGGTGCTGCCGACCCGACGCATGAGCATACTACAGAGCTTTTCGACATTACGTATAACAACGTCTTGCCGAGCTGCAACCTTGGTCTTGCTAAAGAAATGATTGAGCGGCGAACGGCGGGCTTGATGGAGTTCATCGAGAGAGGTGCTAACAACATGTTAACACTGAAAATGTTTCATCAACACTTAGGGAACAAACAAACAGAATTACGCGGGGAACGAACCAAATTGTGGCACCAGGAGCAACGAACCCGTTACATGCCCATTGATACTTATCCCGACCATCATGCTGGCCATATAGTTTCTCGTAAAAGGCATGATCGAGAATATGAAGTTCATATGGGCTAATACGAATTATAGGACCTGGAACAAAAGATGAGCGAATTAGATAGGAGTTCTGACGAAAGGCGTTGAAGTTCCGGAGACCAAAGCCTGTATACATACCATAGCTTTTGTGCATCTCGGCGATCTTGAAGGTGTATTGCCCTTCGAGAATTAAATCGTAGTAGCCTTCATAACATCGTGTAATAGCGGCCAATTTGGGACCGGGGAATTTTGCCAGAGGGTGAAGGAAGAGACGGTAGCATGCCAGGCTCGCACAATAGATGGCAAGCATAGCAGCCACAACTTTCCATGACAGCAATGAAAGCAACTGATACAAGTCCATGATAGCTCAAAAGAATTTGCAGGTGTTCTTCACTGCGATAGGTGAGGACTTGAAAGAGAATTGTCGCTTTTACTACGTTCTTGATGTGTTTTGAGCAGTTACGTGTTGAGGTTTGAAGTTGGTATACTGTGTTGAACTAAGATCCTGGCTCTTTACAGACAAACTTTCAGCATATGAAAGACTTCCAGCTCATTGTATTGAGAATAAATATCGCACAGTTGTTGAGTGGTCAATTTGTCGGTGGGCTAGTATGTATGTGTGCTTTAGCCTAAGAGTATTTGTGGGAGCGTCTTATCTGTACGTTGCAAGTTATCTTACAAGGTAGGTTCTCTGTGAATCAAAAGAAACCTAGGCTTGCAATTCTGTATGCCAGTTGCCTTCTCCTGATGCTGCAGGCATCACGGATTAAGTGCGATCGTATCGCTCACCCAATCTCACCCTGCTCGCTCAATTGAACAACCAAGTAGATTGAAAGCAACCAACAAACAACGAAATACTGCGCCGTCACGGGCGGAAACTATTTAGCACAATCTGGTGCATAATCCTTGTACTGTTATGAGTGCTACCAACAACTGTCGGCACTTTTGGTGAGCTGCCGGATATACAGATCCGTGGTCCAATTACAGAAACGACTGCAGCACCGTTGCCCTGCAGGCGCAGGGATGTGAAGCCTACGGAGTATGAGAAACTACTGCCTCTTCGAGGGTAATGCTCATCTCTGGATTGGCACTTGAATAGTACTTTCGAACGTAACCTGTCCATACAGGAAGATATAACAGCTTAACATGGATAAACACGCCGTGTGATAAAAGTGTCGCACAGCAGCCAATATGCTTGCCTCACGGTCGGCGCGCGTATCATATCATCATTTTTTAAAGGATTGGTTGGTATGGAGGGAGTCATGTTTACCCCGATTATAGACACGCAAGTCCGCAGAGTACAACTGCGTATTCCTGAGACTCCTTCTTCCAAGCCAACTTGGCCAAGTTCTTGCTTCCTTCAACGCCCAGATATCACCTGTATTACCAGTTTTATATACTGGTGTCTCAATAATGGCCACCGCTCCATCCTCCCTCAATAGACCGTTGTCACCTGAAACTTCTTCTGTACTTGCCAAACCTTACAATGTCAAGACGAAGGAGAAGCCAGTCATTTCTCTAGAGCCAAAGCTCGATCACGAGTATCTGACCGGACTCAAGCTCTTCATCGTTGTGGCCGCCGCGGCCATTGTTGCTTTCCTTATGCTCCTCGACAACATGATCGTGAGCACGGTAAAACGCACCTTCAGATGTACAAAGTTGGTACAGCTAATCATCCCATCTAGGCCATCCCGCGCATCACTGACGAATTTCACTCCCTCGCCGATGTTGGCTGGTACGCCAGTGCATACCAGTTTGGAAGGTACGCATTGCTCACCGACACGAATATGCTCAATTGTCTAATACGCAACTCACCTAGTTCTGCACCGCAGCCATTGACAGGAAGGATCTACAAGTATTTCAACACCAAGGTTCGTATGAAATGTGTGTTGATCGCGTTTCGAGCTTCCAACTAACTGGAACAGTGGACATTTCTGGTCTTTTCCTTTATATTTGAGATTGGCTCAGTCATCTGCGGCGCTGCTACCTCCTCAAACATGTTCATCGTCGGTCGGTTTATTGCTGGTTTTGGCGCCGCAGGTATCGCCACGGGATCTATCACGATCGTTTCACTCTGCGCACCTCTTGAGAAGCGACCACGTAAGTGAAGCTACTAAGCTCATAATATCGCAATATTGTACTGACATTTTTTGCTAGCTCTGCTTGGTTATTCCTTGGGTTGTGAGTATCTGATTGTTCAGCGACCGATCCTAACAGCTCACGGCAACTGACCATGAGTAGTCAAGCTTCTTGGACTTGTTTTAGGGCCTGTCATCGGGGGAGCTTTCACATCTTACACTACTTGGCGCTGGTGTACGTTCGCTTTCAATCCTTTTTACTTGCCTGTATTTCCGCTGACTGTGCCAGGTTTCTATGTGAACGTACCAGTTGGTGCATTGGGAGTGCTTGCCATAGCTTTTCTGCGCATCCCTGAAGAAACACTCAAACCAAAGGCTTGGTCCCTACTCCCCAGAATACATTATCACCTGGATCTTATAGGCTTTGTTCTTTTTGCGCCCGCGATCTTGCAACTTCTCCTCGCTCTTCAATTTGGAGGCCAGGCCTATCCATGGAAGTCACCACAGGTCATCGGCCTCTTCTGCGGTGCCACGGCAAATGCAATTGTCTGGGGCTTCTGGAATCGATACCGCGGAGAAGATGCAATGATCCCTAGCTCGTTGATTCGCCGCTGGAATGTCTTGTTCTCGGGGATCTACGTGGCTTTCCTCACGTCGGCGGTCTACGGAGGCATCTACTATCTCCCACTCTATTTCCAAGCTGTGAATGGAGCGAGTGCAATCAAGAGTGCCGTATATCTTCTTCCAATGATCATAGCACAGCTTATAACCGCTGGGGTCTCAGGTGTCGCGGGTAAGTTAAATAATCATTCAATCATCCAGAACTTAATATGAGAGCTGAACCAACTGGCAGTGAGTAAAATCGGCTACGTGATTCCGGTAGCTGTGTTCTCGACGGTATTCCTTTCCATAGGAACTGGTCTCTACTCCCTTCTCCAACCTGGCACCTCAAGCGGTGAATGGATTAGTTTTCAGATTCTTGGAGGTATCGGCTTTGGATCTGGGCTACAATTGGTTCGTCTCCTCGCTTCTAGAACTCCATCAACACATCGCTGATTTGTTTTAACTGGATCCAGGCTATCATAGCTGTCCAGGCAGCGATGGATAGCGAGGAGCTCCCTTCTAGCATTGCTTTTGTCGTCTTCAGTCAAGCATTGGGGCCCACCATCGTAATGGCCCTTTACAATATCATCTTCCTCGAAAGCTTCCAGTCGCAAATCAAGAATTATGCGCCCAGTGTCAGCCCAACAGCCGTAATAAATGCCGGTGCTACTGGATTTCGTTCCTTTACCTCGCCTGCAGATCTTCCTGGTGTGCTGAAGGCATATGCAAATAGTATCGATCGCATCTTTTATTTCGCCGCAGCGCTAGCGGCAGTTTGTGGGATATTCCTGTGGGGAATGGGATGGCATGATTTGCGGAAGCCAAAAGGCAAAGTTCCAAGTACCGAAGAGAACTGTACAATCGCTACAAGCAAAGCCACGGATGCCCAATTGCCCAACGAGGAGGGGGAGAAAATATCTTGAGTAGCAATCTTGCCTCTTTCTTTACAAGCACAAGTACCTACTTTCGCAGAGAAGGTACAAATAGTACTACGCTGTCGCCACGCCTGCTTTAAGTACAACTTTCAATGTACCACCACCAGTGTAGCTCACATACCAGATTTCCTAGCTTCTTATACCAATCTTAAGAAATTATAATTCAAGATACCACACTTCTTCCAGTGCCCTTTTTCGTTTCATTAACCGGTACCTGCGGGGTTATCGGGACAAATCTGAGTAAAAGGTTATTATGTCTAGTATTTACGCTCACTATAAAAAGAAGTGAACAAGGAGACAAGGTAAACACCACTCTTCAACTCCTAGTTACTAACAAGTCGGGTCTTATCGTCTGCAAATGAAAAACAATAGCAGAAGATCCTCCTTCCTTATCCCGGGTTTGCCTCATTCGAAACGTAACCGCTTGTTGTCTTGGTTTTGAAGTTCGCGACTTCACAATTACGAATGGGTCAACCACTTCGTTGGATGGACTTCGTGCACACTCTCGCTACCCATTTGATTACTGAGAACTCCTCATCGTCCTGCCTCTTCACAAAGAGACCAATAGTTTCATGATATCAACGTCTGTGGAGTTTCCGCTGCTCAATAAATAAGCCGACAGTGTGGATTTTCACGTTCTAAAGCACTTCAAAAACGGCTGATACATTATCTAGAGTTTGTTAAATTCGAGCTTACCAAAACGCCTTGTAGATCCACGCCGGCAGGTGATGAGAGTTACCACAAATCAGTATTGTATAGTCAAGTCCTGTAAATCAGGGAGACATTACGATGTTTACATGTTCTCGCTCAATTTCCGACTGCTCTACGACGGATACCATCCTCCGTCTATTGCCCATACTTTGTTCGTAATATATCCGTTAGCTACCATAAGGTCGACAACACTCGCAATCTCATCCGGCCTTCCCAATCGACCCACTGGAACCTTAGCCTTCAGTTCTTCGCCGCCTTTCGGAAGCATAGTGGTATCCTCAATCAAAGCGGGGGCGACCGCATTGAAGGTAATACCATCTTTGGCATATTTTGACGCAAGAAAATGTAGCATTCCATGCAAAGCGCTCTTACTACTCGCATAGTGAGGGCCAACAACACCACCAGTTAATGCCGCCACGGAGGAATTATAAATTACTCGACCGAATCCTTCTTCGAGCATAGAAGGTACAACCAGTTGCGTCAAGTGATACGAGGATAAAGTGTTCACTCTCCATGTCTTCTCGAAGGTTTCGAGGGAAACATTTTCGAGCTGACCTGTCGGCCCAGAAGCGTCAGATGTTGTGCCCGCATTTGCGAAGAGTACATTAATCGTGCCCATCTGTCTGATAGTCTCGGAATGAAGACGAGAAACTTCTTCAGATGACGCAAGGTCTGCTTGTATTGAAATAACCTTGATGGACGGATCCAGCGACTTGATCTCGACTTGGATTTCTTGCAGCTTTGCACTATTCGAGTTGTAGTGTAACGCGATAGCTTCCACCTTATACGTCGATGTCGACTGAGCAAGTTGAACTGCTGTTCTTGCTCCAATTCCTCCACTCGCACCAGTAATCAATATTCGCAGCCGTGTCATTCTGTATAGGAAATTATCAATGTATCATTGCAGGTCGCTAGTTGCCAAGATGGGGTCCATCTCAAAATTTTAATGCCGTCATTGATCCGGCAAAAACTCGTGATCCCTCCTGTCACGATTTTCTTGCGGTCTTTTTAAGGTTATGCCTTTCTTCATTTGCATAACTCTAGTTACATACATTTTTGCGATATCTGAAAACTAAAATCAGACGTCTTGCGATGCAACAATATAGTCTCACAGTCTACACTTCCAAACTCCTTATCCATGCCCAAAAATACTCCTGAGTGCGATAACCTTCCCACGAATACTCATTTTATTTATACAGAAAGTAGCTCTTCCTTGCTCGTAACATCGTTTCTGATACATAGTGCATATTGTCAAAACACCCTTCAGACGAATGCAGCTGGATAAAGACCAGTGTTCTTCTTCTGCTCTTCCCCTCCAGTCTGAGAACTTGCTAGCTTCGAACGCTCCCTCAACCTCGAACCATACTTAAACATGACGATTGGTATTAAACTGAGAATTGTGCCAAAAATGGAGAGCATAAGACCAGCATATTGACTTCCGACATTATGGAAGAACTGCGATGCGAACAGCGGAGCTACGCCTCCCAGTGTGTTCCTCATTAGACCCTGGCCTGCAATTGCGGAAGAAGAATTTTCACCGTAGCAATCAGATGTGTAGCTGTAAGTTGACTCAAAGATGAAGAATATTCCAGCTGAAATTGGTGCCAGTGCGATAGTTGGGGCAATCCAAGGAAGATACCCGTATTGCGTGAAGCTATAGATAAAGAGACCAACAGGCAGTAAGGGAGCACCAAACATTGCGCCGTAAAGTCTGGACTCTGGAAGGATTCGTCGATCTCGAGCCGCCATGATCTGTTTGTATTTCCGAATCTGCAGAAAATTGGCGGCAAAACCTATTGTGACGCCGACACATAATGAAATGTAGGGTAGACCAGCAACACCTTCGCTCCATCCTCGTTTCTCTTCAAATGTGATGGAGATAACGCTGAGGAAAAGAAACGTAACGAACCATGCAAAGGCGATGAAAAGACCCCATGCAAACACAACAGGCTCTGTCGCTAACATTTTAACCGCTTTCACACTCGAGTTGTGAAGCATTTCCTTTAAATCTTTTGCTTCCAAGTCCATCTCGGCTTTATATCGTTCATCGCCAGTTGCAGCTCGAAGTGCCTTTGCACGCTTGTGTAAGGTGACACCACCTCTTGTCTCCCTCAGTCCAAGTATGATGAGAATGAGCAGCGGCACATTGGCGAGCCCCTGAATACCTTCGATCCATCTCCAGCCAATAGTCTCGTCAATGAATCCAGCATATATTGGAGCAGCGACTGTCCCGAAGATTGCTACGTACGCAAAACATGCCATGGGGATTGCTCGATCGTCTGGTCGATAGATATCGCTGAAAGTTCCTCCAACAAGGATTGTTCCAACACATCCAAAAAGACCTTGTAGCACACGCATCACCAGAATGGTGGCGATGTTCTTTCCGAGAGCCAACCCAATAAAGACGAGGATGAAAAGTGCGTAGGCTCCAACATAGATGACTCTCCTTCCCACGAGCTCACAAAATGGAGCTAGGAACAGAGGCGCAAGAGCACAAGCAAAATTGAAACAAAATAGTCCCAGTTGACCCAACTCATTCGAGACGCCAAAATCATCTGTCATGTTCCCAATACCACTACTGTAAGATGTTGTTGCGAGACCAATAAAGAGAGTCATCAAGCATAGTAATGCTGTGATGAATGCTTTCCGCCCTGCATTCCAGTTGAATGGATCTTGTGGATCATCGTGGGTAAATCGAAGTAAAATGTATTCCTTTCCGTCGTGTTCGGTCATTTCCCACAACGTCAAAGGCATATCGATATCGACCTCCTTCAAAGAGTTCCCTGCAAGTTTATCCCCCTCGCTTCCGTGATGTTCTGTGAGATATTGTCCTCCACATATCCGTCCAGATCTTTGCTTTGCGACGTTCTCTTCTTGTTTCGCATCCGGTACTCCTGGTGAAGCTTCATACTTTTGGGCCTCATGCAACGTGCTTTCCTCGCTCTTCTCTCCAACAACTGGATTTGATTGATGAGAAATTGCTGGCATATCGACAAGTGATGGCAAAGTTATTTAGGGCGCTCTCTGAGTCCAGAGGAAACCTTCTGCTTTTGACACATCGCGGAGAGGCGATGATGCATAATTTCAAATCCAATCTGTGGACCTGTTCACTTAATCCGGTTGCTCTATACTACTCAGTCGTGGCAATCACCGTCATGTCTAAGGGTCCCCGAAATAGGACCGCGGTTTTAAAGAGATACTCGAGCATATCCAAAATCCACCTTTTTGGAAAAAACCCAATTTTGCCATGACGCTTGGGAGCTAGATTGAAGATCGGTTTTGAAACTTTGCCGCATTGAACGTAGCTCCGTGGGTCTGATAGTTCTAGCTTCCGCATTCCAGCGCTTTAGAACAACGTCAAAATCTTCGCTGTTAAAATGTGAATTCCTCTCAAGTTGGGAGTTTCCACAAATAATGTCGTTACCGACGAACCTGGGTCATCTTTTGCCTGCAGACATCCTCTTTTCCAATTAGGTTATCCTAGAATTCATCTCTTCGTTCTTCGAAAAAGCCAACGTCTTTATTGAACGATAATAGAAAAACGGGTTCATCCCGATGGCCAAATCCACTGATCCACTGATCCACGGCAGTACCGGACCCCTAGTTTGGATTTCTGGTGCAGCTGTATCGAGAGCGAGCCAAATTGTCAGGCTCCGATGTATCAACGAACTACTCTGAACAATGGCACTTTCCACGGAACACCCGAGGGAGATATCGCTGGTCCGGACTGTTACTGACTCGGAAGGGCTGCGTTGTCGTTGGATTTAGGGAAGTGTTCACCTTGAATCCGATTCTAGGTCGATGATGGCGCGTATGCTGTGCGCCACCGAGCACGTCGAGTCCTTTTTCTGTCGCTCGAATATGCTTAGAATCAACTGAGGGTGTTATTCGGATAATTTTGCTACCTCAAACATAGATCCACCACGCTATTTCAACGTCATCGCGCTTGGTTTCCTTATCTCGGTCAAACCTTTTCAATTGTGCGAAATCCTTCCGAGGACCCTCTTATTGCCACCCACTTTAAACCTCAATATCTCACCGTGCGAGTGCCAACACGATGGTTATTGTGGGTTACAGGCAGCTGGACACGGGTGAGCGGCTATTTTGAAATGTTTTTCTTATCAAAATAATCGCGGAACCGTGTTAATCTGGTATCTCATTCCAGAGCTTCTGCTTTACCCGTCAGCTTAAATTTCCTTTTCAAATTGTTGCCCTCCATTTCGCGTTATCAGTCTCGGAACATCTTCAAAACTTCAACAAGGTCGGCCCTCAATTCTTTCCAAGATGCTACAACCTTCGAGTGATTGGTTCAGGCACCGCTATCCCTCAAGGCGTAACATTTCCGGGTGCAAACCATGCGAGCGATACTGGGCTCGTCTTTGACGTGCAGTCGAGCAATACAAATTATCCCTCGCTTGGTCCGGCTATGTACAAAAGCCAGACCAGTGTAACACTGGAACCAAAGAGTATAGTTGTAATAAGTCCCACCGGGAATACGACGGCAGACCTTGATTACAACAAGGCCGAGAAAGCAGCACTATATTATCAAGTGACGAACTCTGCGTATTTCGATTCTATTGGAGGCTGAGAGCTTTTAGAGACTTGCCACTCGTTGCCTCTATTATTGTTTGTAAGTAGTTGCGAGAAAGATCGGACATGACTTCAATGCTCAAAGTCAATGTTCCCACGTTTGACTTCAACTTTGAACGTCAGAAATGAATGCGATTAATCCCTTGAAGTCTCAGTGTTTTGCAAAAATACACCAACCGAATGACTTTGGGGTTTTGACTGCGGATCTCGTGTCCAGCTCATTTTGCCAGGCAATTTTTATCCTTGAATGGTCTTGGACGCTGCAGTGAGTAGAAGAGATTGATTGGACCCTTATTGTGATCACAAGCACACGCCCAAGGGTCTTTGATAAATAAATGTGATTATAATTATGTTACATTTGAAGTTCCGCTCAATGTGCAACCAAGAATGCCCAATTCAATGACAGTTCTTGGATCCTCATCCATTCTATACTGTAGAGGGTTTGCCAAAGCATTGCCGGCCAAGTCAAAATTTGGCACCCATCATCATCGGAACGGCCATCAAAGATGAGCCACCGACAAGCAGCAGTAACAGCACAGATCGATCTTGAAAATGGTATAACGCATTCTCCTATCTTTGTCCGCTCACCAGTGACATACGACTCAGCAACGAAGAGGAGTAGCGACGACAGCGGCGTTGGGTACGGCGACGGCGGTATTCGGTACGACGGCAGCAGCAGCAGCCGGAACAACCATATCAACACAGGACTCATATGTTTGCTGTGCACCGGTACCAAACCAGAACCATTGCATAACCTGATGACATTAGTTCATTATCTTTTGAACAGCGATAAAAACTTACACATGCTCCAGCAACAGCACACTTAGCCCCTAAGGTGGTTGGGATTGTAACATCGAAATCCGTGTTGTTTGCGGGAAGGACAGCCAACGACTCGTCAGCGTAACTGGCAAACTCGATCAAAGGCTGGCCGATTGCAGTGTTGGTCGCCGTATCGATGATACTGACGTTCATTGGACCTTCGTGTGGGATAGGCAAAATAGCTTTCATGTTTACTACTTCTCCAGGAGCAAACTCTTGAACATTGGCTACATTGTCCTCAAATTGCAGTCCCTTACACAGAAACAAAGGACAGGCAGTGGCGTTGAATCCTGGGATAAGAGCAGCAGCTTCAGGCATATCTTCCACGTGAGAGGTGACATCGGCTTGGACGAGAGCTGCTACTGATGCTCCGCAATTGTCGATCATTGCTTGTCCAACAGCCCGAACCGGTGGTGAAGTGATTACCCCATGTGCAGATATCGAGGTGGCCAAGCCAGCGAGAATGATGGTTGATAACATGATGAAGGATCGGGTAGTGTATTGAGGAGATGCAATAAAAGTATAAAATTATAATAAATAAAAGTGACCAGCACAACGAATGTCAGTTGAAAACAAAAAAAAACTGGTATCTGAGAGAAATGAACGGAGGATTCCCAAGCTTTCCTGGGTACCGCGAGATACTTATGAGGTCCAGCAGGAAGGGACAGGCAAGAACTCGGTTAGATGATGGGATTCATGAATTTCCGCATCCACAGTGGATATCTAGCACGAAACCCATATTGCGTAGTTTCCCTGTACTTGGATGTCGAAACCGCAGACCGACAAATGAGACTCCTTGTGAGGTTCATTTCTTGAACCGGAGGAGCCGTTCCTGGCGTGTCGAGACATATATCGTTTGAGCTGCCGTCGCCAAGAAGCATGCTCGCGACGCGTTTGCGTAAATGGGACGTTTTACGCGACTTGGCACAAAGCTTAGACAGAGCCAAACTCGGTTGAAGCTATTCAAAACCAGCAAACCCTTATTAAGGAAAAGCAGGTGAGAGTTGGATGATGATTAACATAAGAAGGATTTGAATCGAATCTGTTCTGTGATGTTGACGACACGGAACGCACTGCGGCTGGAACCGAACTTCCCGTCGTGTCGTCACGAAGCTAAGGGTCACATGACTTGTGCGACGCCGAGGACGGCGCATAAAAATATACCCGTCACCGCTTTATATCGTCACTCGCGATGCCGAAATAGCAAGGGCAGTATCCGGCGACGGAGATAGATTTCAATTGCTGATATCTTTGTCGCCGGTGTTCTTTTTCATTTGTCCTCCATGTACATACTTCCATACTGAAATTCAAAATGGCTTCAAGGAGAATCAGTCCCATTTGCTTGTCGCGGTGCAACCAGACCGTCCTTCGTCAATCAACTCGCTCAAGATCAATATTCCCCTCCCCGTGTAATAACACGAGTCGACAGCTTAGCACAACATCATTATTGCGAGAAGAGAAGGCAAATGTAGGGAAGAAGCGTGATCCAGCTCCAAAGATTGTCAGAGGGCAGTCGAAATTGTATAGAGATGCAGATGAAGCTGTCGCCGATATAAAGAGTGGCTCGACGATATTGAGTGCTGGATTTGGGTTATGCGGGACAGCAGGTATTTGTTCTTAATTTGGGCTGTGACTGTGGATTCTGATCTGTTGTTCAACTAGAAACTATTATTGCTGCAATTGAGCGTAGAGGCAAAGAATCTTTACACTCTCTGACCGCCGTCTCGAACAATGCTGGAGCGGGAGGTGGTGGGGGACTTTCGCCTCTGGTCATGAGCGGGCAGATTAATCGACTGATTCTATCATTTATTGGCACAAACAAGACGTTAGAGAAGAAATATTTGTCAGGAGAAATTGCAATTGAGCTTTGTCCGCAAGGAACAATCGCAGAAAGAATACGAGCTGGAGGAGCGGGTATTCCAGCATTCTTTACCCCAACGGGAATCAGTAAGTCAAACGATGGTCTTGCCTGCATCACTCGCTCATAACCTTCAGACACACTCCTGCAATCAGGCGACATTCCGGTAAGGCTAGGAGCTGTTGACGAAGCTACCGGCAAGGCGACGATTCTCGAAAAAGGCACACCACGAGAAACACGAATATTCGACGGCAAAGTCTATGGAATGGAACGTGCGATCAAGGCGGATGTTGCGATCATTCGAGCACATAAAGTTGATGAAGAAGGAAATGTTCAATTCAGATATACTACCAAAGCATTTGGCCAGGTCATGGGGAAAGCTGCCAAACTTACGATTGTTGAGGCAGAACAAATCGTTCCAGTTGGAGAGATCCATCCAGATCAAGTTCATCTCCCTGGAATCTACGTCAACCGAATTGTGCCTGCCAAGGCCGAGAAAGTGATTGAGATTCGGAAACTGCGTGAGACAGCTGGGAAAGAGGGTGTGGAAAAGTCAAGCGGCCAGTTGAGAAGAGAGAGGATTGCAAAGAGAACTGCAAAGGAGCTTAAAAATGGATATTATGTAAACCTCGGAGTTGGTAAGTCAGAAGAACTTCAAGAACGAGAAACCAGTACTGATTAGTTAGGCATTCCAACATTGGCACCGTCATTCTTACCAGCAGACTCCAAGGTGTGGATTCAATCCGAGAATGGACTTCTTGGGATGGGAGCTTATCCTACAGAGGATGAAATTGACGCGTATGTGCTTTGAGATACGCTGAGTTCGGCTGCTAATATCGTGATAGTGATATAATCAACGCCGGGAAAGAGACAGTGACTATCGTTCCAGGAGGCTCAACTTTCGATAGCGCCGAATCATTCGCTATGATTCGTGGTGGACATATCGATGTTTCTGTTCTTGGTGTAAGTGCTTTTTGAAGCTTTTATTAGGCAGTGCTAATCTTCAATCAGGCACTAGAAGTCAGCGCGAACGGTGATCTCGCCAACTTCATGATACCTGGAAAGGTGTTCAAAGGAATGGGTGGTGCAATGGATCTAGTCGGTAATCCAGATCAGACGAAGATCGTGGTAGCTACCGATCATGTTGCGAAGGATGGAAGTCCTAAGATTGTGGAGATGTGTGCATTACCATTGACTGGTGCAAGATGTGTTTCTACAATCATCACAGATTTGGTAAGTCGTGTCCATATAGGACATCGCGGAGCACGTGCTAACAGTCAATCCACAGTGTGTATTTGAAGTCGATAGAGCCAAGGGAGGGCTCACTTTGACAGAGTTGGCGGAGGGTGTTGAGGTTGATGAAATTAAGAAGAAGACAGGAGCCAAATTTGCTGTTTCAGATAACATCAAGTCGATGGAATGAGGAAACCATTAATTATGAAATCTATGATGCTTATACGAACTAGAAAGGTCGATATATATGTCTAATGTACACCACAACCTACGTCTATTTAGAAAATTTATCTCTAATTACAGCTTCGATTTAACCATCCCTGGTGCAAATGTGCTACCCTTCCCCTCACCCAACGCCTCAACAATAGAATCTACACTCTTCAACAGCCACATATTACCCTCATCACTCGCCAACCACTCACCACCCTCAACAACAGACTCCCCTTCCGCCTTCGCACTCCCATCATCATAAGCCTTGCGCAGTCCAAACACATGACTAGTAACCTGCGGCCCAACACCCGTCTGCGATCTCAAACACGCAACCGCAACGATACTGGTCAACACCCTGCCCACCTTCGCCCCCTCGGGAAGATGCGATGGATCAGCGAATAAAGCACCATACTCGTGATTCAAAATGTGAACTGGGAGATCTGGATGTGAGTCTGCTAACTTTGATTCTAACTTGGTGGAGAAGGGCGCGTAGATGGAGTTCCAGAGGTTTTGGCCTCGTGAGATAATGGCTTGAATATTTTGTTCTGAGGGGATTCGAGAGGGTTTGGTTGATAGGGATGAGATTATTTCTTGGGGGAGGCTGTTGCGGAATGCGCCTAAGCAGTTTATTGTTCGGGGGACCTGTGAGGGTTAATATCTGGTTTCTGACAATTCATTTGTGAACTTACTCCATTGAACCCTATACATTTCAATCCAACTTCTCTCATAAGCTCGGCTGTCTGTACGGCTTGCTTCTTGTCCCCTGAGCTTTCGGTCGCGAGTTTATATAACTCCGTCAATGACTCTGGGGAATTCATCGTCATTGTTGCGGCTGTCTGATTTCAATTAGCACACGGCTTTCTCATACAAAGATGATTTACGAACAGAAAATGTAAGCCATGCCGGAACTCCAACATTTTTCGAACTTGCTTCTTGTCGTAACTTCTCATAAACCGATCGAATTTGAGGACTTGCTGGTAACGTGTTCGGTTTCGCGTAGGGCGCTGCAATGAGCGCCTTCAAAGACGACGATAGCTTGGACATGATTTGCCTTGATCAGCTATCACCTTAGCAAATTCACAAAACCCAATTGCAATTATATTCTGTTTCTCGGTGCCTATGAAAACCCCGAGCATCAAAGTCAATGATGTTGTTTAAACCTCGGCCTGACATCGGGATCTCGGCGCCAAAAAGAATGACCGAGCGGCGAAAGAAATTATAAGCTTTCTCCGGTGGCTCGGTGGTGGAAATGTTTAGTTCGGTTTTTCTTAAATTGCCTTTTGTCATGGTCAGCGACTAGTATTTGACAGGCCTTGTCAACGGCGATGCTATTACTAGGCCAGTGAATCAACGACTGGTGATAGGTGGTGCTCGAGATGTGTAATCCACCGTGTATCCCAGCGGATGCATAGGAGGGTGGATACACTCGTGCTACCCCGCCATTTACCCCGGAGGAAGGTGAGAGATAAGTACGAGAGCTTTGCAGACTTTATCTGTATCTGCCTTTTCAACTACGCGGGCTGTTTCCTGGTTCATTTCCCTCTTCACAATGGCTACGCAAGACCGTGACGAGAAGCGAGGCAGCGAGGAGATGGCGGACGAGATGTTTGTTGAGAAGATCGATCAGAGGCCGACTGTAAGCACATATACAGAAGATGCTGCGATGACAAGACGGATTCTTTTGAAACTTGATCTCAGGTTCGCTACACGGGCTTTGCAATCTTTCCTTCAAGTAGACTGACAATCCTTCAGGATTCTTCCTGTTCTTGCACTCCTATTTCTTTGCTCCTTTCTAGACCGCACGAATGTCGGTAACGCAAAGCCATATGGTTTGGAGAAGACTCTGGGAATGACCGATCGTCAATACGATACTGGGTTGGCTGTGTATTATGCCACTTACATTGCGAGGTAAGCCTTTCGACACAATTCAAGCTCGAGCGACAAGCGTCAATGGCACCAAAATATCATTTCCAGTGCTTGAGAAGTGGCTAATACGTCGGCACTAGCGAAATACCAAGTAACCTTATCCTGAAGAAAGTGTCACCCAAGATATGGCTTCCTGCTCTCACTGTGATGTGGGGACTGGTGACAATGTGTCTTGGTTTCGTTCGAAATTATCCTGGCTTTGTTGTTGTACGAGCAGTATTGGGTATCACAGAAGGTGGACTTTTGCCAGGTATCGTAAGTCTATTACCATCCATCATAAAGGTTGCACCTGACGAAAGTTCAAGGTCTTATATCTGTCTTCTATGTACACTCGTGGCGAGATGGCCCTTCGCTTGGGATTATTTTACACAGCGGCATCATTGAGCGGTGCTTTTGGTGGTCTTCTCGCGAGAGGACTCACATCAATTGGAGATGTAGGGGGACAAGCAAAATGGACCTGGATTTTTATTATTGAAGGGCTTATAGTGAGAATCTTGCATCCGATGTTAAGCTTCCGCTAACAGAAACAGACAATGCTTGTTGGGACAATATCATACTTCCTACTACCAAACAACGTCGATACTGCATCGTTTCTGCGTGAAGATGAACGCATCTTTGCGAGAGCCCGTCTCCATCTGGATGTCCCATCCCGATTAGCCCAAGACGGAAACCCTTCTCAACATGAGTCGTTTCAATGGTCCGAGGTTATGCGAGGCCTCTTCAACATCTCGACCTGGTTATCCGCATCTGCATACTTTGGTATCCTAGCAGGACTTTATTCCTTCGGTCTATTCCTTCCAACAATCATCGTCGAACTCGGCTACACAGCCAACGAAGCACAACTCTGGTCCGTCATTCCCTACGCAGTAGCCTCAGTCATCACAGTCGTTATTTCCATCCTCTCCGACCGTCTCAAACTTCGAGGAGTGATCATGCTTTTCGTTCTCATCCCCGCAATCATTGGATACGCAGTGATCGCCAACATAAGCGCTTCGCACCCCAAGGTCAAGTATGGAATGACATTCTTGATGGCCACAGGGATGTACGCAAGCGTTCCATGTGTGTTAGTCTGGAACTCCAATAATTGTGCGGGCCACTACAAACGAGCCACGACGACGGCGCTTCAATTGGCAATCGCAAACAGTGGAGGTTTCGTCGCGACGTTTATTTACCCCGCCAAAGATAAGCCAAATTTTCACAAGGGACATACTGTTGTGCTTGGACTTCTGGTATCTGCTTGGTTTCTGTAAGTTTACTGAGTCATGAGAGAGTGTAAGCTGACTGGAATTAGGGTGCTGCTCAATGTACTTTATTGCGCAAAAGTCAACAAAGACAAAGAAAATGGCAAGTACGATGAATTCATTGGGTGCGGAGATGATCGAGATCCAGATTTCAAGATGGTTCTATAAAATCCTCACAACTAGACTGGGTATGTAAACATAATATGCCTGTATTATTTACATCACCTGCAAATTTAGAAACATTATTGACCCAAAACACAATAAAATATCTATCGAAAAAAAAGTACTAAACATCTAACACCCATACATCTTCATATCTCCAACTCTCTAAGTTTAAGCAGATTTTCCCTTGGCCTTCTTTGCGGCAATCTGAGCTTCGGTGTGATGTGGCTCTGGAGTTCGCTCTTCAACCTCAC